TGGACACCTTGCAGCCTTCAAGGAAAAAAGTTTTTTCATGGAATTGAGACAACTTACTTGGATAGCGAGAAAAACGGCGCCCGTTTGTTAATACTTAAGTATACTTGGGCTGTGGACTTTGCTGCTCAACGCATTTCTTAATCCAGCCCAGTAGGAATAAGTGAAAAGCAGTCAGATTCAACATTGATTCGGAGGTTCTAGTGGGAGAATAGTTCATATTTTTGACGCACAGGGTCTTTCGTCCTTGTCTATGCGACACTGTCCTTGAGTCATGATGGTTTGCAACCATGTTTGGAACGATGCGGCCGATAGATACGCCCTTGCCCAAATGAACCACTTTTCCCCCTATTTCACAAGAAGAACCACAGTTACCCCTTTAAGTGAAGAAAAATCAATTTTACCCAATTTTACAGTATAATACGGTAAAATACCGTATTTTACCGTAATTTACGTAACTTTGAATCTTACCGGTATTTTTGCATCCCTACGCGGGCTGGTGCCGGGCCGCGCTGTCTGTCTCTGTCGCACCCGCGGGCTGGTGCCGGGCCGCGCTGTCTGTCTCTGTCGCACCCGCGGGCTGGTGCCGGGCCCCGCCGCGTAGCGCCGCGCGGCCGACCGCCTCACCGCGGCCGTTCTAATGAGACCGTCTTGGTGGTCCGAGTCCGAGCGCGGGGCGGCGCGGGGGGCGGCGCGGGGGGCGGCGCGGGGGGCGGAGCGGGACCAGCCGTCTGTCACGTCCGGCCGCACCTACTTCAGCATATCAAATTATGAGAGGACCGGCCTGTGTGTGTGTGTGTGTGTGTGTGTGTGTGTTAAGGCTCGCGGGGGCCGTCTTACGAGTTTGCTCCTAACGCGCACGACGCGCTGGACGCCTAATCACCCCCTCCGCTCACCGTCTCCAACATGAACATGGCGCCCGCCCAGGCCGCCCAGGCCGCCCTGTTAGCCGGCCCGGCTTCGCGGCTTCGCGGCACCTCGCTGTGCTGCTTCGCCTGCTTCGCGCTTCGCGGTCATCAACTCGCCCGACAGTATTTATGTATTTATTTTTCACTCACTCGCGGCGCTGGCAGCTACGGCGGGGGTGGGGGCAGGGTGCAGGCCAGGCCGCCAGACTTGTTATTAAATAGAGATTTGGCCGCGAGAAAGCGCGTGAGGGGTGCGACGTGCTGGACGCACTGGTCGCCAATGGCCAATGGCAGTAATCACACCAAAGGATGCGCGTGGGTGGGGGCAGAGCGGGGCAGAGCGAGGCGACCACCATGGCGCCGAGGCCGCGCTGGCCGGCCGGCCGCCGCGGGGCGTGACGGGGGGCGGGCCCGGCCGCGGCGCCGCGGCCCGGACGACGGACGACCCCATGCTCGCCCAGATGGACGTGCCCACGGCCCACGCACCGCCAGTGCCGAGGCAGTGCCGTGGCCAGTGCGCCCCGCGAAACGCGTACCCCTCATTACCTGCGTCACCACGCGTGCACGCGGCGTGCCAACGCCGTGCACGTCCCCGGGGTCATCGCGATCCTCGATCCACGTTCCTTCCCCCGCGGGCCGAGCCGAGCGGCAGCGCGACCGAGCGCAGCCGGGCCCGGCGAGCGCGTTGAACGCAGAGAGAGCCGAGCCGGCGACATCGCGTTCCGTTCCATGTTCGGTGATGACGGCAGCGATAGTGTTCTGTGTGCCATGGAGGCGCGCCGCCCCGCCCACGTGATCACATCACACAATGCCGAATAATAATTCGACGGCCCGCCACGCCCCGCCTCGCCCCGCCACGCCAAGCCCCGCCACCGGCGGCACTCCGTGGACCCCGAGGACCCCGTGGGCACGGCCTGCTTGGCCTGCACAAAATTTGAAGACAATGGCCGGCAGCGGCAGCCCGCCCATCGCGTCGTTGCGTCCATCAGGCTGACGACGACGGGCAGGGGCGGCCGTCGCCGTCGTTCGGCTGGCTGGCCGTCACGACCACGGCGGCGCACGGCGGCCGACGGCGGCGCGACCCCCGGCGGCCCCGGCTCTCCCTCGCACTTAGCCGCCATGCTGCACACAGAGCGAGCATGGCGAGCATGTCGTGTACTGGTGCCGTTTGCTTCGGCTCATCTCCGCCGAGCTAACCACTCTATTTGGGGCCACCGCTTGGTGCCGCCGCGGGCGACGAGCACACACACGTACACGCACACACACACGCACGCACACACACACACACACACACACACACACACACACATACACACATACACACATATACACACACACACACACACACACACACACACGCAACATGTGCGTCGCTTTAATCGCGGGAGGCGGTGAGCGTGAGACCGAAAGGTGACGTTGGACGTTAGTCGGTCGCGGGGTTGTAAAGATTCGATCAAGTCGCATGGAGTTACTCAAAACTTGATTCACTTTGCCGTGCGATTCGCCCGTTCTGGCTCAGTGGACGGTCAGCGAGCAGCGTGTCACCGAGGAGCGTGACGACAGCGTGAGACGAGAGCGTGGCACGCACGCCAACTATAGTCGAGCCAGCCAAAGGTGGCCCTTTTGGCGACCGTTGGAAATGCGGCGGCTGGCCGAAGCATTGGCGCTGCCGTCGCCCGGGCTACCCCCTCCTCCTCCCGAAGCCCCGAACCGCCAATAGGAAGCGGTTCGGGAGGTGGAGGGGGTAGCCCGAGCGACGGCAGCGCCAATGCTTCGGCCAGCCGCCGCATTTCCAACGGTCGCCAAAAGGGCCACCTTTGGCTGGCTCGACTATAAGCGGTGGTGATTCGCGCCGAAGTGGCCGCAGCAAGCGCTGGCCGCCCTGCGCAAGTGGGGCCTTGTGAGCGCGGGCACCAGAAGGCGGGCCTCGCTCCGCGAATCGCAGCGAAATTAGTCACATTTTCAAACTAACGATATAAATACGCTGCGATTGCGGCCCCGCTCCGCGCTCCGCCGCGCGGTCGCCGTGTCGCCACGAATGACTTGAGCTTTCAGGCCATCAGCCCTGCTCGGTAAATCACGGCGCGCGTGTATTTTCGTCTCTCTCGCACCGCAGCAGCCGCGCGGCCGGCGACAAAGTCGACAAAGTGGAAGGTGTTCCCGCGCCACGCCGCGCCGCCTGCTGCCTGCTGTCTCTCTCGCACTCACGGGGCGGCCCGCGCCTCGAGTGCGGTGCGAGAGAGACAGAGCGACCGGCTGGCGGCGGCGTCCGTCCTGCCGCGGCCCCTCGGCCCCTCTCCGTCTAACAAGTCGCGACTCTGGCCGCGGTCCCTCGTCAATTAGCAGTGCACAGATTTACACGTGTCTCGCTGTCTCGCTCGCCGCCTGGCTCCCCAATGGCACGGCGGCACGGCCCATGGCACGGCCGAACGGCTCTGAGAGCGGCTCACGCGCACGCCGTTGCGACACCAGCCGCGCCACACAACGCCAACTTCCTCGCCTCATGAAAGGAGTAATCGAAGTTTAAATAACAGGAAAAGTAGCGATATATACTACATCGGCAACTTTGGCCCGTCCCGTACTTTAAGAAATGTGAGAATTTCGCCTATATTCGTCTCTGACGGGATTTGAACCTGAGTCTGGGGTCACAATAGATGTTGGGCATTGTTAGCACACCCCAGCCATGTAACGTGATGTAGACCAATGGATACAGCCCTGCTCCCCCGATCTCTAAACCCAAGTTCAATGCCCATAGATTGTACTATACAAGCATTATTTTTCTCTGAAGTAATGTTGTTACCAAAACCTTGAACTATTCATAAGACATCAGTTAAATGGTTTACGCCTTATATTGACTGAAATACTTAGATTACATTTGTGTCACCTGAAGGCAAAGAACGAGTGCCACTTAACAAAATTGATAAATTGCTTCTCTAACTTGTTTTACAAAAAAATACACGGGACGGGCCAAAAAGTCGTCCGATGCGCCGTTGGAGAGATTGCAACTCTAAGTTGAACCGCACTCTCACTGCACTAACGTCCAAGTTACATCATCACAAAATTGTCGAAGTTTTCAACGGCTTCCAACATAAGCTACGTCCGACTGCTTTTGAGATTCCGGTGGACTTCCGATTTGAAAAATGAAGTATACGAAAGTGACACCCGCCACTCACTCGTCGCTACCCTTGCCGTCGTTTCAGCCCACCCCTCACTGTTGGCCTGGTTCCGGCGCTGGGCGACAGATGCCGCCAGGGGTCGGCGCGCTGCCGGGAGTCTCTTCAGGCGGGGAGTAGAGACGGGGCGGGACGAGGGGAGTAGCGACGCGGACCAGGGCTCGCACTGCGATACCCCGCGCCTCGACGAAGGGATATGCGCAACGCGCGGGATATTGCTGAAGACAATTGAACCTCTTGCTGCTTGCTCTCCATTGGTCGGCGCTTCTTTTCATGTCGCCCCATTTTACCACCAACTTTTAATGAAGTTGTAAATAGTTTAGGGAAACAGAGCCATAGCCTTAATCATTGCCACCCGAATTAAAACTTTAAAACGCTGGTTATTTTACACGATTTAGTGAGAATTTGAACGCTGCTCGTGCGCTATCTTCCAGTTTTAAGTCCGGCCCTGGATATTTCCCGTGAGAAATGAAATGCTGTCACTTTCGTCGCCCACAGCGGCCGTCCGCCTGGAGGTGTTACAAGTGGCGCGGTGGTGGTTTGGGGGATGAGAGGGGCGGGGGGTTGGTTTGGCCTGCCGGCCTCGCCTCGCACAATAGCGTGATTAAGGACGTGTGCAGGCCTCAGACTCCAGCACGCCACGCCTCGCCACGCCTCGGCCAAGGGCACGCCCCAGTGACACGAGTAATCGGCCCGCGGTCACTTACAGTGTCAGGCCGTCCGGCTGAAGGGTGATTCCGTGCAGTGTTTCTCTCTCCCACTCAAAAGAAAGGCCAATATTGGTGAAAGGTCGAGCACCTAACCATTCAGAAGGTGCAACACATTATTGGAAAAAATCCTGCTGCACAAAATGCAAAAATAGAGCAAAAAGATTTTCGAAAATTTTGATGTTTTTTTTTATTTTTATATCTTTTTTCACGCAGAAGGGTTATTTCTCTAAACCAATAACAAATAGGGTATTTTAACGAATCCCTGGCCCAGAAGTCAAAGAACATAAGTAAGAACCAAAACGGCCTCTGCGCATGCGCAGACGCTGCCTCAGAGTGGAGAGGGGACGTCTGCGCATGCGCAGGAGCCGTTTTGGTTCTTACTTTTGTTCTTTGACTTCCGGTCCAGGGATTCGTTACCCTATACGAAAATACTGAAAATCTGTCTTTTCCTCGCACCTACGCCTCAGCAGCAAAGCGCGGTGCGTTCGTGTCGTTGCACTTCGCAACCCTTTTGCAGGAGGCAGCGGGCGAAATCCCACTCGCCCGCCTCGGCGGCGAAGATGAGAGCGTTCTTGCCTTCGCTGGTCTTGGCGTCCACGTCGCAGTCTGTGCCCAGCAGCCGCAGGCCCAGGTCCCACTGCCCGGCCTGGGCTGCGAAGAGGAGAGCGTTCCCGCCCTCGTCGGTCTTGGCGTCCGCGTCGCAGCCCTTGTCCAGCAGCAGCCGGACCGCGCGCCACTCCTCCGCCTCGGCAGCGAGGAGAAGTGCGTTCTTGCCGTCGGTCGTCTTGGCGTCCGCGTCGCAGCCCTTGTCCAGCAGCAGGCGAAGCACGCCCCACTGCCCGGCCTCCGCAGCGAAAAGCAGCGCGTTCTTGCCGTCGGTCGTCTTGGCGTCCACATCGCAGCTCCTTTGCAGCAGCAGGCGAACCACCTCCCACTCGTTGGCCTCGGCGGCGTAGAGCAGAGCGTTCATGCCGTCGCCTGTCCTGGCAGAGTCGTCGCAACCCTTCTCCAGCAGCAAGTGCACCACGAGCCACGACCCGGCCGCGGCGGCGAAGTGCAGCGTGCTCTTGCCGTCGGCCGTGTTGGCGTTCACGTCGCAGTCGCCGCCGTCCAGCAGCTGGTACACCGCCGGCCACCACCCCGCCTGCGCGGCCACGAGCAGCGCGTTCCTCCCGCACTTCCTCTCCAGGAGCCGGCGCACCAAGTCCCACTTGCCGGCCCGGGCGGCGAAGCGCAGCGCGGAGGCGCCCTGGTTCGCCTTGGCGCCTCGCCTGCAGAGCCTCATGGCCAGGGCGGCCAGCTTGCCCATGCCTTCCACCGGACGGCCGTCCATGTCACTGCGTCGCTGCAGAAGAGCGAGAGAGCCATGTAACTCAAATGTCACCTCCTGTCCGTCATGACCTGTGGTAAAGTTGCTCTGCGTTCTTACTTGATTATCGGGTTCTTCGTGCGCTGGTGAAGACCAAAACCTCGTCGTCGAGCGAGTGAAGAGCCGAGCTGAATCACAGTGCACCCTGACGGTCGAGCGGACACGCGGAGATTGAGCAGAGAGACGCGGCAATGCGCACTTCACGGCGGTTCGACGAAGACTGTCAAGGTGGTTATCGGCCGATACTGCGAGTCCACATTCGCTCCACTCTCTACGCGATAAGCTGGCCGCCCCACACCGTGACGCAGTCACACTGTCAGCGGCCGACCGGGCTAGAGTGACGTCATAGATCCCGACAGTCACACAAGCCCAGCAAGATTCTATCTATGACGTCACTGTGCTCATCAACCTCGCTAAGTAACCGCGAGAGGCTCATACTGTACTTGAAAGTCCCTCCTTGATCCTTGAACCTTGAAACGTCTTCGATGCACCCGCACCCGGGCCAGTGCAGGTGTCAGGTCTTAAGAACATCCGCACGCCGAGTGTGTGACAGGAAAAGACAGCCTATTCTTGTCTCACACTGAGGGAGAGCGATTGGCAACAACCGTTCGGGGCAAAGTCAACCCAAAACACTATTTTCAGACCCGTCTGTCCAGTGGCAGTGCGCCCGCAGAGTCGAGCATAGGCAACCCGACTCTCACGGTACGCGCTACTTAAACGACTTGGACTGTCGATTTGTTTCTCATTTATTTCAGACTGGATCCAACTGAAACCATTTCCCATGAGATTCCGCCTCCCGGGCGCGAACGTGTGGTTGGAAACAAAGTCCTTCCAAATGAGTCCTTTCGCCGGGGGCGCCTCGGCTCGGTCCGGTGGCCTCGGCTCGACTCGGCACGGCTCGGCACGGCTCGGCTCGGCTCGGCTCGACAATTGACGCATCGTTATCTCTTTATCCGAGTGCAATGAGTCCGACTCACAGCTCAGCGGTTCCAGAAAGTTTTCTCCGCGATACTCCATTGTCGGCGGCTAGAGTCAGCCGGGGGCTGGGGGTGCGGAGGCGAAGGGGTGAGTGACACTCCTCGCGGAACCAGGCCGAGCCGGGCCGAGTCGGGCGGGGGTGGCGCGGAGTTAAAACCACAAGTGTGGGAACAGTGATGCGCCCAGTGACGCGTTTTAATTGAGAGGAGGGCAGGGCGTCTGCTCCCTGCGATGCAACCTCGGACGCTCTTGAAGCGATTGCTGCCATCAGCGGGATGGCGGTCGGTTGCAACCATGGCAATGGGTCGGTTGCAACCATGGCAATGTGTCGGTTGCAACCATGGCAATGGGTCGGTTGCAACCATGGCAATAGGTCGGTTGCAACCATGGCAATGGGTCGGTTGCAACCATGGCAATGGGTCGGTTGATGAAGGGCATAGGTGGGTCGGCAGCGGGCATTGGGTCGGCAGCGGGCATTGGGTTGGCAGAGGTAGGGTCGTCGGCAGCGGGCAATGCGGGGCAATGGGTTGGCAGCGGGCAATGGGTTGGCAGCGGGCAATGGGTCGGCAGCAGGCAATGGGTCGGCAGCGGGCAATGGGTTGGCAGCGGGCAAACGGGTCGGCAGCAGGCAATGGGTTGGCAGAGGCAATGGGTCGTCGTCAGCGGGCAATGCGGGTCAATGGTTCGGCAGCGGGCAAAGTGTGGGCAGCGGGCAATGAATGAATTGGCGGCAATGGGTTAGCAGCGGGTAAAGTGTTGCCAGCGGGTAAAGAGTTGCCAGCGGGCAAATGGGTCGGCAGGCGTCTGGACTGCCTAACGGCCAGACCCAAGCTGCGTACGGCGTGTATGTGCATTTGTACCGAAGATGGCACGACAATTCTCCGAAGCGTGGGAGGAAGCGGCGAGCAGCGAGCGCGAGGGGCCGTGGCTGCATGCATGCATGGCCAGCCAGTCGGTCTGTTTGTTTTCCGTGAGGCCCTGACGTAAACACGACTCTTGTCCTAACCTCATCTCCTCGCGTATTTATAGTCGCGACGCCAAATGAGAATCAACGCGCCGACCAATGGGGAGGCCCCTTAGCGGAAGTAAGGGGAACGGAGAACGCGAGAAAACGGCCAAAGAGAAATGTAGGCGGTGGATTGGCAATTTGGGTGGAAGGGGGCGGGTCGATTAAAGTCGTTCTTGAAAGCGCGCTGTTGTTGTGCCGAGGCAGGGCGCAGGCAGGGCATGGGCAGGACGAGCGGAGTCCTCTCCGAGTTTGTCCACGTGCTCGGCCTCGGCCGCCGCCCCGCCCCTTCGCCGACGGGGACCCATTGGCGAAGCGGCGGCGAAGCAGCGGCGAAACGAGATAAAAGGAGGACGACAAAAAGAAGAGACTCAAGCACGTAGTTTCACCTTAATCAGCCCGTGGTCGTCCGGAGCCTCGTCCAGGGCGCTCCGCCCAGCGACAGAGGGGGAGGTCACAGTGGGGTACTCTTGATCCTGCAGAGCGTTTCGGTTCCCAAAGCGTCCGTCCCAAATTCAAAGCCGTCGGCGTGCGCGGCGCCGCGCTGCCGTGTCGTCGTCGGGGGGGTGTCTGACCTACCGCAGCGCCGCACCCCGCCACGCTGCGCCTCTGTGCACTTGTTTTAAAAGCTCGCCCCCTCCCCCTTCCCCCCATCCCTGTCGTCGTGGCCTCGCCGGCCGCCCCGCCAGCCCCGCCAGCCCCGCCACTACCCTGCAACCTGATCCACTGAACATCACAAGCTAATGGTTCTTGACTCCGAGCGCCCCCTCCCCCGCCCACACACTCCCACGCACACAGCGCGCTGCAGCACACTTTCCAAAGCGGCATATCCCCCCTGCAACAGCAGGGATGCCCATTCATTCATTTCACGGATTTCATTTACGGGCGGCTTCGGTTTTCGAACAGCCGGACTGCCGTTCCACTCGGCCTTCTTCGTCTCGTTAGAAGCTCGTATTTACCTCGTCGTTTTCACTCATCCATTCATTCGTTGGGGTAAACACCCCATTGACGGCTGCTGCCTGGCCTTGGAGCCGTGCCTGGTGCCCCTGGTGCCCCTGCAGCCCTTGCTCCAGACCCGGTCCCCGCTCATGTGTGCCTGCGCGCCGAGCCCGCCGTGCCCCTGTGGACCACCAGGTTGGATGGGCTCAAGTCTAAACAACAAGCACGCTCCTTTACAGAAACAAGGCTGAGGGAGGGGGAGGGGGAGAGAGGGAGAGAGAGGGGGCGATGGTCTGACAGCGACATCAGTAGCGGATGATCGGTAAATATTTGGCTTCCTCATCATCTCCGCGGGATGAGGCGAAGGACAGAGACGGAGCACGGGGCGGGGCGGGGCGGGGCGGGGCGGGGCGGGGCGGGGCGGGGACAGGACAGCGCCACAAGGCCGGGCAAGGGTCGCGATAGGATGACAATCAATGACCGCGACCGCCACCCCGCCACGCTCACCGCGCACCCCAAGTGCACCGGAATTTCTCATACCGCCTTCCCTTCCTCCTCTTTCTTCTTCTTCTTCGTAGTGCCGCCGCCCGAAAAGCTGGCTGGCTCGGCGGCGGGCGGAAGGGCGTAATGTAGTTCCCGGTAGTCCATAAAGTCGTGGCCGAGCACGCGTTGCAGTGCCGCAGTGCCTTGCAGTGCGGTGCCCATCCACGGGCTGCCAGGACCACTGGCCGAACGGAAAGTATGTAGTCAGTTGTTTACCAGGACCATCCGAACCTTGTTGCTAAGCTACGGATGTCCCGAAAATGTTTCCCGCCGTCATGCTTACCTTACACGATGCGAATGTGCAAATTTCAAAGTATAACAAATCATATCGTATAACAACGATTGTGAGAAACTTAGCGTTCTGTTCCGGTCTTTCCCTGGCCCACTGTGCTGAGTGGGACCGCTGGAAAGGAGAGGGGGGGGGGGGAACTTGCGTCATGAGGTGCCACAGCCCGGCACAGCCCGGCAGACGCAGCGAGCGGCCGCCGCACCCCGCCATTACAATCACACCTGCATTACCATAATACCGGGCGGGGGCGTCAGAGGGGCGGGGAGGGGGGGGGGCATACTTGGGGCGACCGCATAGAAGCACACAGAAAGCAGTTTGCTCCTTCGTTTCTCTCACACTCGCCCATCAGGTTGGCCAATCCGCCAACACGCCGGCCAGGGCCAAACAAGCGCAGGCAGGGCCGCCAACGGACGCCGAGCGCGCGACATCGCGTATACGCCACCGAGTCCACGACGCACAGTGGGCCAGAAGACCGGTGGAGGCGGCCAAAACTCCAGACGCGTTTTGAGCTCCAGAGTCGCTAAATGGGACTCGAACCGAGCGTGTGACCCCACCAATGGATTCCTCGTTCGGAGAGCAATCCATCGGTGGGGCACACGCTCAGTTCGAGCCCCACTTAGCGACTCTGGAGCTCAAAACGCGCCTAGAATTTTGGCCGCCTCCACCGGTCTTCTGGCCCACTGTGCGGCGAGTCGCGCGAAATTTCGAATCGACATTTCTGCGACAAGGGTTGTCAACATTGCATGGACACCGCGCGTCTCCGCGCCGCCACACAGTGGGCCAGGCAGCCAGGTCGGAACAAGTTTATAATGAGCGCTGCGCGTATCGGCCGCGCGCTGACAGATTAATAGGGCCCGGTTTGTTTTGCAGCGCTGGCAGCCCTGCCTTGGCCCTGCCGCCCGTCATATTACGGGAAGCCAGCCGAGCGGTTCAGAACATCGGCTCGTCGCTCTGTCTCTCTCGCACCCTCACGGCGAGCCCCTCGAGTGCGACAGAGACCGACTCTTCGAACCGCTCGGCAGCAGCGGAGCAGCGCGCCAGCCCTGAGCGCCAGCGAGAGCGCCAGCCCTGCCTAAAGTGTTGAACACTTTATTTATCAACGTACGGACTAGTTTCGGAAAACAAATGGACTGAGTGGTTGCGATGACGGGCACGGCACCGGGGAGGGAGCGAGAGAGACAGGAAGCCTGCCGAGGTGAAGAGGAGGAGGAAGGGGTGAGCCACCAGCAGCCGACCATAGCAGCGCCACTACATAAAACAATCTTGGCAAAATGTGGATCGCGTCCAAACGTCAGATTCAAATCCCCAGGTAATTTTTCTGTCCCAGGAAATCATCATGTAGTGGTCAGAACATTGTAGGTGCAGTCCTTTGAAGACAGTGTGTGTCGGTTCGCGGCGACTGCAGTCGGCCTAACTCTGTCTAACTGCGTCTTTTATTGTCTGTTCTTGTTGCTACCTTGTTTGTGGCATTCGAGCGGCTACCGGCTACCGTCCCCATTCGCGCTAGGGGTGGGGTGGGGGTGGCTTTGGGCGGGCTGCTGGATGCAGTAACGCTGCTGCTGTTGGTAACAAGTGTTACACGCGCGGGGCGCTGAGAGAGTGAGTGAGAGAGGCTCACTTCCTTCCGTTCTAACAGAGCCATCCCTAATGATGTGTGTGTGGCCCTGCACAGGCAGAGCGCGATGCCGCAGGGCGGCGCCCCCGTCTCTATCTCTCTCGCACTCATGGGGCGTCCCAGACGGGTGCGAGAGAGACGGAGCGACGAAACACTGCACATGGTTCATTTCACTTAAAGAGAAAGAGGAAAGCTGGAAGCACCGACTACGTACTTGTGCCGGGCCCACTCACTCCCGGCCTCATGCGGCAGGGCGGCGGCGACGAGCGCCAGAACGCCAGAAAACGCCAGAAACCGTCCAAATCTGTCAGGGGAACGACGAAGATCGCGCTGAGCTCGTTCTGACGTTTTGGCTCATAATCGCGCGTAATCATGTTCAGCCTTCTCGCCGACCGCCAAGCGTGGCTCTAGTGGGAGAGGCCGAACCAAGCCGCACTCTGCCCCTGTGCGTAGGCAGCTTTTGCTACATTCCCCCAGAACCCGTTCCTGGATCCGCTCCTGCTTGGCGCAGGCCAGGGCCAGGGCGGTGCCAGGGCGGTGCCGCGGCGCGTCACGTGGTCGGTGGACGGGGAGCGCCCTCTATTTCCTCTCGAACGGCAAAGACGCGCAAACGGATGGGCAGTCGCTTTGAACGGCGTAAACGACTTCGGACTCGTTACGATTATTTATGCAGCCTCGCCTGTTTACCGAAAGCCGTCAGCGTTCCGTTACTTTTTTCCGCGCGAAACGACGCCCCGGGGGGGGGGGGGGGGGGCGTCGGCGAGGCCTTGTCTGATGCGCACCGATGTCGACGAGTCCGACGGAGAGGGCGGCCGCGCGCACGCAGCCATCGTCCAATCGGAATGCTGAGGAGCAGCGGTGTCGCCCGCAAGTCGGCAAGTCAAGTCGGGCGGCGGCAAGTGGCGGCGCCAACATCCGCTTCGGTTCTGGTTTGATCGATGACGATCACGGAGCCTCCACGCGCACCGCACAGTGGGCCAGAAGGCCGGTGGAGGCGGCCGAAATTCTAGACGCGTCTTAAGCTCCAGAGTCGCTATACTGTACAGGACTCGAACCGAACGTGTGACCCCGCCAATTGATTCCTCGTTCGGAGGGCAGTCCATTGGTGGGGTCACTCGTTCGGTTCGAGACCTATTTAGTGACTCTGCAGCTCAAAACGCGTCTAGGATTTTGGCCGCCTCCGCCGAGCTTCTGGCCCACTGTGCGCCGCGCACCGGGCAGACGCCCTGGCCGGCCATGTGCGCGCGGCGCTCGGCGACACGGCCTCCACGGCGTGCCGCAGCATCGGGGACGCCGTGCGCGCCAAACGGGGGCCGTCACGTCAGGGCCGCCCCGAGCCGAAGGGCCCGAAGGCCACCCAGGGCACCGGCGTGGTGCTGCCAGTGCCAGGGGCCGCCGGGGCCGCCGGGGCCGCCAGGCCTGCCGCCAAAGAAGCCCTGGAACAACGTAAACACAGCCCGCGCCTCCAGGCAGCACCGGCAGCACACGTGCGCGGTGCGCGGCGGCGGCTCTTACAGTTTGCCTGCTACTCGGAACCTCGGACTACACTCCACTCGCAGGCATCGCAAGTGTGCAGCACTTGTGTGGACAGCACGCGCCCCGGGCTTCCTCCTGCCGGCCAGCGTTACGGCAAAGCACCTCGAAAACATACGCTTCGGAATCAAATCATAGACGCCACGCCCACCCGGCAAAAAATCATTCTTCAAATGTGGGTCAATATACCACGGGCTTATGACAGAGGCCGCTGGGCGTAAGCGCGTGGTCACATGGGAAACCCATAAATAGGTTGCTCTGTCCGATGACCACTCATGTGGCAATTGTACTTATTTTTTGTGCGGCAGGGTTGGGAATCGAACCCTGGTTACCCAGTTTCGAGGGTCGGTGTCTCTGCGCCCTCGACCACCGCGTTGATCCGCACTGTGTCCGCCACGGCGGGTCTCCGTGCCGTTCACGGCGAGAGGTCCCACGAGAGACTCGCGTGTATCAGCCTCGACCCAAATACAGCGGTGCTCTGGCCGCTCCGCTACACGCTCCGCCGCTCTGGCGCGCATCCTGCCAGACGCCGCGTCGTGCCGCGTGCTCCATGATGCACTCCTTGCACTCCGCTCTCGATTTGACGCGATACTACTTTGCGGCTGTCCTTCTCCCACTCCCCCGTCCGTCCCATTTGCACACATGGACGCGCCCAGACCGGCAGACTGATTCCGAGAGTCGTTTTCGTCGCTCTGTCTCTCTCGCACTCATGGGGCGTCCCCTATAGGTGGGAGAGGGACGGAGCGACGAAAACGACTCTCGGAATCAGTCTGCTGCGCAGCGATCCCGAATGAGAAGTGTCGTCGCTCTGTCTCCGTCGCACTCGCGGAGCGTGCCGCCTAGGGGTGCGAGTGAGACAGCGACGAAGCGCAGTGCGGGCGCAGCCTGCAGCCAACGGCCCATAAGAGGGCATCCCAGGCCGAGCGCCCCTCCGCCTGCCCTCCGCCTGCCCTTCGCCTGCCCTCCGCCGCGCGATCGCCTCTAGCGCCTCTCTTTCGCTATTTGCAAGACAAGAGGCCCGTGATTGTAGTCCGTGTGCCGCCGTCGCGCCGTCCTCGTCACACCCGCGGCGGCCGGCCGGGCTGGCCCTCGGAGCGACAGAGAGAGAGGTGCCCCCCGCTGCGCCGTGCTGCGCGATGCTGCGCGGTGCTGCGCGGCGCTGAGCGAGTGGTGGCACTACCCCAACCCCCGGCCACGCCGCGCCGCCCCACCCCGCCAACCCCCGCCGCGCTGTTGGACCCATCAGCAGCGCGGGGCCCGCCGGCGCGTGAAATTGCAGCCGTATGTGTGTGGTTAGAAATGATTGTGACAAGCCGCTCCGATTCCAACACGGCGCCGCGCCTCCCTCCCCTCTTTATCCCGAGTGACAATGCGCGTGGGAAGGGAATTGCCCGCTATTTCGGCTAGTGGCGTTAAATGAAGCTCGTTCGGCAGTGGCGGTGGCGGCGCAGGGGTGCCGTGGCCGCCGCGGCAAAGGAGGCCGTGGAGAACGCCCTGCCCGCCGACGCGGCGGACAGGTACACCCGCTCGCCTCTTGGCGGCTACTCTCGCGGCCGCGCCGTGGCGGGGCGTGGCGGGGCGTGGCGGGGCGTGGCGGGGCGTGGCGGGGCGGGCGGGGCGTGGCGGGGCGTGGCGGGGCGTGGCGGGCGTGGCGCGCGGCGCCGGGCGTCATGGAGGGCGGGGCCGGCGCAGGTCGCGGAGCGCCCTCACTGGCTGGCCGCGGCGCGGAGGGCGGCGGAGAGCGTCGGTGGGAGGAGCGACGCGCAGCGACAGCGACGCCATGCGTCGGGACGCAGCACGCCGCCCGCAGCCCGCAGCCCTTGGCGCGCCCCGCACAGCGTAGCGGCCAGCTCGGGCCAGCTCGAGTGGGTCAAGCCACGGCCACGGTTTGGGGAGAGGACGGGGCACTCGAGGGGCACGGCCGGCACGGGCCATCGGCAACGCGGCGCGGCGCCGCCACTCAGTGGGAGCAGGACAAGAAGTACTCTCTTCTGCAGAGGGCATGCAGCACGACCGCACGCCCTACTTTTGCATGAGGACAGCTTTGGCGCGTGACACTGGGATTCACTGCGTGTTCACAGAGACACCGCAGCGCCTGGGGACGCGGCGCGAAGTCCGGCCCGGCCTGAGGCTTACCACCGTGTGCTAAACCACCCGTTCACTTTCTGCAGCCTGATTCCAAGCGTCGTTTTAGTCGCTCTGTCTCGCTTGCACCTGTAGGGTACGCCCCGAGAGTGCGAGAGATACAGCGATGAAAATGACTCTCGGAAATCTGCTGGCCTACTTGGGGCCTGGCAGAGGCGGCTCCCGGGCTTTACCACCCCCTGCCCGGCCTGCCTGGTGAGCTGCCCGGTGGCGGCCAGGGCGGTTGGGCCAGGGCGGACAGGGGCGGGGGCGGCGCCCGGGTGGGGCGGGTGGGGGTGGCGGTGGCTCCACTGGTGGCGGCGCGACGCGGCCGCGCTGCGCGCTCAGACGCCTCCCACACACCGACGCGCGCGGAGTGGAGCAGGACGACGAGTGGCGTGTGATGGTGCTCTGAGTTTGTGCGTGGCGGAGCGCGGCGGGCCATGGAAGGCATCATGTCCACCACCATGGCGTCCTCGGTGACGCCCTTCTCCATCGCGGACATCCTCATGAAGCGGCAGGAGACGGCGGCGGCCGCGGCCGCGGTGGCCTCGGCCGCGCACCAGCGCCGGAAGTCCTGCTGCTCCTCCGACAACGACGTGCACCTGATTCGGCGGTCGCCGCTGTCCTCCCCGGGGTCGCCGCCGAGTCCGCGGAGCCGCGGCAGCCGAAGCCGCAGCGCGACGCCCAGCGCCAGCCCGGGGCGGCACAGCCCCGCCAGCCCCGCCAGCCCGGGCAGCGCCAGCAGCCCGCGGCACGCCGACGACCAGGCCCTGGACCAGGCCCTGGACATGCGGGCGCAGCGGCGGCAGGACGTGTACAGCGGTGAGTGTCCCCAATCAGCAACTGCGGGTTCGAATCCCGCTTGGCGGCCAGCAGAGAGTGTGCAATTGTTTAATGAATGAACTGTACTTCCGCACCCGTAAAACCTTACGAAGTATTCTGAGCATACATATAACAAACTAAAATACTTTGTTATACGAAGAAGTAGTTCGTAAATTACGAAGTATTTTCTTTGTAAGCTTACGTATGCTCAAATTACTTTGTTATACAAACTACTTTTCTTTGTAAGGCCCAAAATAGTTTGTAAGGTTTTCTCAGTGCGGGGACCACGGATGCCCCGTGTGTCCTCATCAAGCTCGCCAAGTGATAGCGGAAGGCTCATGCTTCAAGGTCCAACCTTGGACCGTAAACCTTCCCCGCACAATGTAGATTAAGAAGGTGACATTTGGACCCACATAAAATAAGGGCGAGCCCTACGACGGGCACAAACCATGTGATGTGACCGCTCTCAAAAAAAAAGCTTGTGGATAGAGGAAAACCCATAAGGTAAAGGGACAATTTAAAAACCCCACATCGCCTTCCTTTTGATTAGCTCACTTTAAAATCGTAAAACAAATTCAAAATGAGGGTGAGTTACTGGGGCTGCAGGCAGGCATGCGCAGCGGCGAAGTTCGCGAGGCTTCTCTTCGCTTTTCCCGCGAGAACGAGTAAATTTGGCCGCCATGGCGAAGACGCGCTTCAGGCAATGACCGCAGGCAAGGACTCCGCCACACTGTCTACCACCCCGACGCACTCCGCGTGTTGCACCCAGCATGCCTCAGCACGCGTAGCATGCCCACGTGGTGCACGGAGTGGCACGGAGTGGCACGGAGTGGCCGGCCGCCGCGTAAACACTAAACATTTCGCCGCGCCCGCCTATTGTTTGGTCTCATTCGCAAGTCTGCCCAGGAATAACGCAGGCTGATTGCTCTGTCTCTCTCGCGCCCCTCCGGCCGGGGCGCTCCGCGCGTGCGACAGACAGAGGCAGCGCGACGAGCCGCCTCTCGCCTCCATGCAGAGCTTGTTGACCTTGACTGTCGCGGCCTCGGTCGCAGGGATGTGAATAGTGACCCGCCCACCAAGTAAAAGTGAGAGGCTCATGCTTGACGGAGCCGTTTGTTGAACGTCCACACTGAGAATGAAAGAGTCATGATCATGACTAAAATTTTGGGCCAAGAATTCTTTATCACCCAAATTTATGTGAGGAAGGTTTCCTCGCCCAAATTTGGGTGAGGAGAGTTTCCTCACCCAAATTTCAGTCATAATACTGTGGAGCCATATAGGCAGCTAATACACCTTTCCTCACCCAATTTTGGGTATTGATCATGACTTTTTCATTCTCAGTGCATCCGTAAACATAAGCTGGTCACAGAGGGTCACTTGTCTCAAGTCTGCTCTCCCGGCCCCTCAGCGCCCTCAGCCCCAGGTCGGGAAAAACGGCGGCCCGGCCCCAAATATTTGCAGGCCGCGCCGCTTGCCGCTTTTGTGCGGCGAGGCGAGCGGAGAGAGACAAAGACAAAGCCGTTCCCTGAATTGTAACAGCAGCGCCGCCGCGCCCCGTGGCCGTGCCCGTGGCCGCGCCGCGAGCCGCCCCGCCCCGCCCCGCCCCGCCCCGCCCCGGGACGGCCGGCCGAGACGACGCCTGACGTCATAGCCCCTTTGAACGAGGATGAGTGACCACGTGACCACTCGGACGGCGCGCGTAGGTTTCTCGGTAAAGAGCTTATAGTAGTGCGGCTTTCGGGCTCTATGCGGCGGGCAGAGTAAGCAGCCGAGAGCCGTTTGCACTCCCCGAGCTCCAATGACGTTCGCGGAGCGAATCGACGCACATCAACGAGCGTTTCCGCATCACTTTGAGAACCAATTTGACGTTTCATTCCGCATGGCAACCGGTCGAGAACTCTGCTTGCGCTACCTACCAGACACAGGTCAATGTTCGAACAGTTTTCATTTCCATTAAGTTTTTTTGGTGTGGCGCCGTGGCGCGTGGCTTATGAGAATTGGCCGTGTCTACGGATGGGATGGGATGGCTGGGTTGGCGGAGGGAGCAGGCTACTGTTTGGAATATATGGGGCGCCCGCCGCCCTCGCCCCGCCCCGCCCCGCCCCGCCCCAGCGCGGCCTGGCATGGGTTTACCTTCCAGCTGTGTGCGTGTGTGTGTGTGCGTGAGAGAGTGTGGGTGCGTGAGTGTGTGCGTGTGTGTTTTCCTTCAGTGCATATGCATCTCTGCCCCGCCGCCCCCGCGCCCCAGCGCGCCAGGCCTCCCCACCCCCGGCCCGCCCGCCCCGCCGAGTCAAGTGCTTGTTATACCACTACAGATATGAGGGCACTCTTGAGCAGCACGAGATGGCCGGGCCGTGCGGGGCCGCGCGGCGCCCATCCAGCCACCCTTCCGCCCATCCCACTTGTCCCAAATATTTTGTGTGGGCAGGCCGACCAACCTACCACAAGCGCGCGTGTTCATGTTCTGCGCCTCTGCGGCCAGCGCTTACGGTTTTCGCGCAGCAGCCCGATTCCGAGGGTCGCTTTCGTCGCTCTGTCTCTCTCGCACCCATGAGGCGTCTCCTACAGGTGCGAGAGAGACAGAGCGGAGAAAACGACTCTTAGTCTGCAGACGCGGCGCGCTTAAAGAGCCGAGCCCCCGCTGCCCCAAATCGCTTTTTATTTATCCCCACCGCCGGGCCTGTAGTCCTGGCCGCCCTGGCCGCCCTGGCCGCCCCTACACTGCTCTGGCCGGACGGGCCGGGCCGGGCCGGACCGAGGCGGGACTGATGGGTAAACAACCAAAGTGCCGCGGCTTGATGGCTGCAACAGGAGAAGCACAATGTTTGCTGCCATTGCGAAACCAGCATCATCGGCCATCGGCTGCCATTGGCCGGCTCCAAGCCCGAAGCTCGGCGTTGGCAGTGGCGTGGGGGGGGGGGGGGGGGGGGGGGGGGGGGTAGAGTGGTCATGACCCCCTCCCCCCTTTGGCCACTAGACAGCCGCCTGGAAGGTAGGCAAATTGCGTCACTTTCCCCCTGTAAGTAGGCAAAAAGCGTGGCCTGACCCCCCCTCCCCCCTTTCTAAATTTCTGCGCACGCCACTTGGCGTTGGCGTCGGGGGAGTGACGCCGAGGCGCCGGCAAGCGGGGCTCGTTTCAAACACACTGGAAATAGCTGGGGCCGCTAATGATCGCCCTCCGGCCCTCCGCACACTTACTTTCTCATGTACCGGATCCATTTCTCCGGGTTGCGTGGAAATACCCTTTTGCCCTTCGCGCACGGAGTCTGTCTGACACCATGTCCTTGATTTGGGCGCTATTTTAAGGGGGAGATATGAGCTAGCTGATAACGTGTCTCGAGTCCACCCGCGCAGCTTGGCCCACTGCCCATACTCCACGCGCGTGGTGTCAGGGCACTGTCCGGACACGGTGAGGACACGGCCAGGACACCTGCCTCCGAGGGCTCACTCACTCACTGGCACCGCCGCCACACTCGTGGGAACGCTAATTCCATTATTGCCCTCAACTTCCGGACGACCGGATTGATACGCTGTAAACGACTGCCTAAACACACCTCGGCCGGGCGGGCAGGCGGGCTGGCGGGGCCGGCCCTCCCGGTGCCCTGCACGCGGTGGCACGTCGACGGCCACCCTCCCTCCCGCCCCTCCGCGGCCGCAACTTCCGCTTCATCCCCGCTAAAAGGGCCCCGGCCGCCACAGCGCTACGGCGCCGCTTAGGGGTCGGCTTGCCTCCCCGCCGCAGCACCGCATCAACAACACGGGCTAAGCAGGGGTGTCAGGCCGGCGTCAGCGTCACACGTCCTCGTCCGAACAGTGCGGCCGCGGCGTCGCGCTGTCTCCGTCGCACCCCTACCAGACGCCCCACGAAAGAGAGAGACTGATAGAAGACGACGCAAGCACTGTGTTCGGAATCAGCCTGCATAGTGTTCCTTTGGTATTTATAGGGCCACGTTGTGAACGATTTCCCCCCACCCGCCCCACCCCCCACACATTTTACCGGTGTGGTGCGCGAAGCGTCCTGACATGGCAGGTCCTCCCCCTCCCCCTCCCCGCCGAGGCCCCTCCTCTGCTGTCACCCCCGAAAGCCCAAGCGCCAACTTGGAAAAAGGCTATCCGTTGTGGCGTGGCGAGGCGTGGTGGCCCATCCCCCGGAAGGCACTAGACAACGCCCCTTTGTTGGGAGGGCCTCGCCGGCCTTGGCGCAGGTGCCGGGGGCGGCCGGGGGCGGCCGGGGGTGGCCGGGGGCGGCCGGGGGCGGCCGGGGGCGGCCGGGGCCATGGCGCTGCGCTACGCCGTCCACACGCCGTGCTTCGCTGCTACGCTGCTTCGCCGCTACGCGCGCTGCCGTGCGAGGCACCGGAGGCGCCGTCGTGGCCGCGCGCCGCACGCCGCAGGCACGCCCCGCCTAATGGCCCCCGGGCCAAGACCAGGGATCGGGCTTTCAATACGGAAAAGGAGTAATTCTGCTAAAAGCGACCGCGGCGTCGCGCGTCCCGGCGTCCCGCCCCGCATGCACCTGAGTAGAACGCTTTCACGATTCGTCCGCCGTAATGGAGGCGGCGCCGCACGCGCTGCACGCACGCCAAGGGCTTCTCGACGACGGCCGCCCCCTCCCCCTCCCCCTCGGCGCGCACGGGCCAATTTTTGACTTTGTCACTCCGTCGGGGAGCGCCGCTGGCGGCGTGAAATCGGGGCGGTGGCTTGATTCCGAGCGGTGCGCTGTCTCCCTCGCACCCCCGCGGGCGCCCCGTGCGTGCCGTGCGTGCGAGAGAGACAGCTGCTCCGGATTAGTCAGGCTGCCCTCGTCATTACTCAGCGCCTCTACAGGCGTGGGAGTCCCAGTTCCGCGTTCCGCCTCCGCCACGCTTCGGTGAAAACGACTCGCACCGGCTGGGATTCGAACCCGGGGCTCAACGGCCGAACTCGTCTCTGTTCCAGACTCGGAGGCCGACGGCGACGTGGACATCGACGGCGACGGCGACGACGTGGACCTGCTGGACATGCCGCTGCGCGGCGACTCGCCCTTCGCGTTCCTGGGCGCCAGGGCCGGCGGCGCGCTCGTCGGCCACCCCGGCGGCCTGCAGCACCCCCTGCAGCACGCTGCGCTGCACCAGCTGGCCGCCCTCAAGCAGCACCACCGGCAGCACGGCCTGCACGGCCTGCAGGTAAGGCCCACTCGCAGTGCTCAGGGCTCCTCCGCGACCTTCTTGTCCATCTAACGGTAGTGCGCTTGCAGCTGGCCGGCCTGCACGGCGCGGTGGGCGAAGCCGGGGGCGGCAGCACCGCCGGGGGCGGCGCCACGCCGGGGTCCGGGGGCGGCTCGCACGGCGCGCACAGCGCGCACCAGCGCAAGAAGCGTTCGCGCGCCGCCTTCTCCCACGCCCAGGTCTTCGAGCTGGAGCGGCGCTTCCACCAGCAGCGGTACCTGTCCGGCCCCGAGCGCGCCGACCTCGCCCACGCCCTCAAGCTCACCGAGACTCAGGTGAGGCGAGCGGAAATCGAATCGGGAGCTCACAACTCACTCCCGGAACCCAAATAAAAGTCGTTTTCCACCCGCAGGTCAAAATATGGTTCCAAAACCGGCGCTACAAGACGAAGCGGAAACAGCTGCAGCTGCAGGAGCAGGTGGGGCCCTCCGGCGGCGGCGGCAGCAGCGGCAGCAGCAGCGGCAGCTCCTCTGCCAAGCGCGTGGCCGTGAAGGTGCTCGTCCGCAACGACCAGCCCTCGCTCGGGGCGCTGGGCGCGCTGGGCGCGCTGGCCGGCGCCGAGCACAAGCCGCTCATGTACCCGCCGCACGGCCTGCCCGCCGGCCTCCCCTTCCCCTACTACTACTACCCCCTGCTGTACCCCAACGTGCCGCACAGGCTGCCGCCGCCCGGCGCGGGCGTCGCCGCGGACGGTCTGCTGGCCGGCTGCGACCTCACCAGGCCGCCGCGGGAGGCGTCCTTCTCCCCGCAGTGACGTCGCCCGTCGCCACGACGGCGTGCTTCGCGCCGACCGCGGACGTCGCTCCAGTGGCGCCGTCGCAGAGGCGCAAGTGAGGGCTGCTACACTGCGCAACCAAGATGGCGGCTGTTCCAAGACCCCACCCGCCCCACCCTCACTTCGGCTGCGCGATCCGGAATCAAACGGCGGCGTCGTCGCCACTTCCTGCCGTTATGTTGTCCAGCAGGGCCCTTGTTCCGCACCGAGGTCATGCCAGACCGGCATTCGTAGTCAAAACGAAATGTAAACTTTGATCTCAAGCTTTACCGTGAGACGCTAATGATTCGTTGAGCATTAGAATGTACAAAAGCAGCGAGTTACCGCGCAGAGGCGCCGTTGCATCAGAGCAATAATAATTTGTAGATAGAGGCGTTAGGAGTTCTAAGTTTAAATGTTTTTTCTAGCAGTGTAGTCGTGTAGATTCGCGTGTTGAATGATCTGGCCGACTTTGCTGCCGCTGCAGGCCAAGTTGAAAGCACTTTTGTCACGTGGTTGTTGTTCTGTTTTGTCTCACGTCACGTGTATATTATCATTACTTAATTTTAAGGTTGTTACCAATAAATGAATCAAGAGTTGTTGACGCGCTGTGCTTCAATATTCCCTCCGCCGCATTCTGATCAGACGGGTTCGGACCGGCCCGGTTACGTCGGCCGAGCGCCGACCGCGACAAGGTAGCCGTAAACAAAAAGGATTCCGTTTTCTGGGCGCGAGGGCGAACGCGTCCTCCTGCGCGAGGCTGACGTGCCAAGACGCCGCCGGCCGCCGCCGCCGCCGCCTGACCGATCGAGGGTAGGCAACGCGCGCGCACAGGTGTGCTGCGGCCGCGGCCGACCTCCATCCATGCCATTACCATTACGGGCTAGACGACAGAGTCTGACGCTCGGGCTCCGGCCGTGGAGGACATCGGGGACCTCGAGGCGGGGTCGCGCGCTGCCCAGCACCACAAGGGTGGATTCATTGACGGTTTCAGAGGACCCCCCGTCCCCCGTCCCCCGTCCGTTTTGAAAGTTAGCTACCTTTGAGGGGAAAACGCGACTTTTCGTCTACCTTTGAGGCGGCTTGGCTTGAGCCTTCAGGGCGACGCCCCCGTCGCCTCCCCCTGGATCCGCGCCGAGCAGCCCAGCCCGGCCCAGCCACTCACAGCAGGGGTCAGGCTACCGCCGCTACCGCGTTTAGCAGCGTGCGGTCGGCGCCCCAAGGTGCGGCCGGCGGCCAGCACCGCGAGCCGTAAACACGAACAGGTCCTCGTTGACCCGCGGGCCGCAGGGAGTCTGGCGGCCGGCCGGGCCATGGCCGGGACGAGCACCGCCTGCCCCCTCAAGTGGTCCTCCGGAAACGAGGTCACGAGGCACGAGGCGCAATCTTCCGAAATCTTTTCCTGCCATGCGGGGGCAGCCACCGCGGTTTGACCCGCCTCCGAAATCCGGGAATCCGGGGTCGTCCTGATTCCGTTTGAATTCAAAGAGGCGCCGCGCGCACCGCGGGGAAGGCGCGAGAACAAAAAGAAGGGACTCAATAAGCATTATGGATTGGCGCATTGGCCCCTCGATGTCTTTGCCACAATGGCAGGCGAGTCAAACATTTCGGTCGTTTTGATGACGGTCGCGGTGGAGCCCCGCCCCGCCCCGCCCTGCCGTCGTGTTCGGATGATCGCTCTCAAACGCCGTGGCCACAAATTGCCGCAATTCGCTTTCTTTTTCTTCCTAATCCCCGGGAGCGCCCCTCCGTCCTGCGCCCCTAATTCGCCGCGGAGGGTTCCTCGCCGTCGCCCTGCACCTCCCCGTCGTCCTGCACCTCCCCGTCGTCCTGTGCACCTCCCCGTCGTCCTGCACCTCGCCGTCGTCCTGCACCTCCCCGTCGTCCTGTGCACCTCCCCGTCGTCCTGCACCTCCCCGTCGTCCTGTGCACCTCGCTGTCATCCTGCACCTCGCCGTCGTCCTGCACCTCCCCGTCGTCCTGCGCCTGCACCTCCCCGTCGTCCTGCACCTCGCCGTCGTCCTGCACCTCCTCCCCACGGCCCCGCCAGGACGCCAACCTGGAACACCTGGCAGAATCGCACACTCGCGCAGTGCACCGGGAACGACCACTCCACGACCAGTGTGCCGGCGAATTAGTTCCAGCCAGCAGACTCATGCCGAAGAGTCCTTCCATTACTCCGTCTCTGTCGCACTCATGAGTCAACCCGTAAAGGTGCGAGAGAGACAGGGGGACGAAACGACTCTTCGGAATCGCTGGGCCGAAGGAACGACCCGAGGGCAAACTACAAACTACCCCCGTCGGCTGGTGGGGGCTCCTTAGGGGACTCTTCCCCCTCCCCCTCCCCCCACTAATCGGCCGCCCGCTCCGAGGCACGACCCCGCCATTGGTAGGGCTCTATTGAGCACGCTCACCGGAAAATGTCTCCCAATCAAGGAGCTCTCTTTGCTCCGCCAACTCTGCTCGTCGTCCTGGTGGCCCCGCTCGCCCTGCTCCGCGCGGCGCACAGTGGGCCAGAAGGCCGGTGGAGACGGCCAAAATCCCGGACGCGTTTTGAGCTCCAGAGTCTCTAAACGGGACTCAAACCGAACGTGTGACCCCACCAATGGATTGCTCTCCGGACGAGGAATCCATTGGTGGGGTCACACGTTCGGTTCGTGTCCTGCTCAGCGACTCTGGAGCTCAAAACGCGTCTAGAGTTTTGGCCGCCTCCACCGGTCTTCTGGCCCACTGTGCGGCGCCTCGCCGTCGTCGTATCAATTTTTCCGTCGCCGCTCCCCTTTCGCCCCGCCGCGCCGCCTTCCGGCAATTTCTTAAATTCGTCCCTTTCAGCGGCTCGCTCGGCTTGCTCCGCTCGCTCGGCGACGCTGCGGCGGCCAAGTAGCGCGCCGCCACGCGCCGCCACACCGCACTTCCGGTGTGGCGCTTCCGGTCGGCCTGCTGCTGGTCAGCCCAGGTGGACCGCGCGGCGGGGGTTGCTTTTGGTGCGCCGCGTTTTCGCGGAGGCGGCCGAGGATCGCTGCGAGGCAGTGGCCATGCAATGGCGCTGAAAGCGGCCTTTCAAAGCGGCCCGGCCATGAAGATGCAAAACGCGGCGAAACGGCCCTAAGGAGGAAAGGAATTAAAGGAATCGCGCTGAACTGTGGAACTGAGACGCCCGCCCCGGCCCGTCCCACCCTGCCCCGCCCCGCCCCCGCACCTCTGAATGGGGGACTCCAGCGACGCGAAAATCACGTCTCACTTGGAGAGCTGAGCGAAGCGGGGCTGAGTCAAGGCGAGACCAGAAAGACTCTCGCAACTTTGGGGACGACCGCCCTGTCGCATTTCACAGCTCTTGGAGACCGTCGAGGCGGCGGCGGTCGTGGAGGAGGACATTTGTCGAGACCGTCTATCTATGACCACCACACTCGACGTCCTCAAAAAGGTTGACCACCACAGCGCCGCGAGGACACAAGTCGCCCTAGTAGACAAACACCTTTTTCCTCGCCGGGGTCTTTCTGCGAAACTTTCCGCGCACGGCGTGGCAGTGCAGTGGCAGGGCCAGGCCCCGCTGCACCTCGCGACGCCACTGCTAGCCTCGCGCCGCTCCCAGTGCCTCGCAGTGCCTCGCAGTGCCTCGCCTCATCGCGTATGCGAGTCAGGCGCGCGAGGGCCATCCGCCGAATGGCCGAATGGCGGGGTCTCGACTCAACTTTTTGGCTCCTTTCCATCCATCGACACACAATGGCACCTACTTTCTTGGCGCCAACTTACTCTCCTCTTCTCGGTCGGCACAAATAGGGGCTGGTGAAAGGCCAAAATTGGCCGCTCCCTGAATAAAATGACACAGCGGCTCCCCCCTCCTCCCCCCCCCCCCCCCCCCCCCCCCCCCCACCTCCCCGCCCCGAGGGGACACGCGGCCACGCCCACCCGGAGCCACCCGTGCCCCGGGGCGCGTCGGCACGTCCACGACGGCGACGTCCGGGACGTCCGGGCCGCGCGAGGAGCGCGAGTCGCCGCAGGGAAGGGTGCCGCGCGCCGCCGCGCCTGGCCGCGCGTCGCTCGTGCGTGAGAGTGACGCAGACGCACTTGGCACACACATTCGCGTGGGAGTGAGGCAGACACTCGGCGGGCGCATTCGAGCGACAGTCATGATCGTCATTGCTAGAGGGACAGGGATTTCGTGGATTGAAAGTGGGGGGAGATTGTTGACAATGTTGAAATTATAAGATTTATTTGTGTAGGCAGTAGATAAAAGTTTTGTGTTGGTACCCTGTTCCCGCTCTCTACTTCCTGTCAACCATGTGATCTTTCTGTCAGTTGCCGTTGTCTGTTGTCGATCAGTTGAGAATAAACATCATACTGCAATCGAGAGTCTCGTGAATCGTACAAATTCTCAAAGCCCTATAATGTAAATCAATAGAGATGATGTGCACACGTTCGGTTTCTGACTGTCTGGCTCAACTTTGCCAAGTGACGTGGATTCCCCAGTCCCTTTTGACCCTCATAGTGACGACTTAGGGTACTCTATATTGCTCGGCGATCCCCGGTCTCCCGCTCACTCGCCCTCTTTCTTTACCCAAGAGTCCACACCACCACCGCCACCCAGCTCAGAGGAGCGGCGCCATCTGCAGGGTGGCAGTCCAACCCGTCCGCGCGGGCAGGCGGGCGCAGCGCGGAGTACTCCCGCGCCACGGCCCTACCCCACGCCCAGGCACGCGGCAAGGGGTATCGACGAACGCCATGGAAAGTTGAGAGCGGCGCGCTGGTGAGCATTTCATCCGATTTCATCGGCAATGATGCATTGGTCTAAAAGACAGCTCAGCTTTCGATGAAATTAGCGTTCTGTAGGGTCCCTTGTCGAGCGCGAGCGCAGTGTTTGACGAATTACGGTACGACCATGCACAGATTTCAGAGGAAAGGGGGGGGTGTAAATACCTTTCTCCAGATAGGCCACCTGGAATGTAGGTAACAAGCACTTCTTTCCCCAAGTGGACAAAAATCGCTACACAGTACTCCCTCAGAAGAAGAGTCCAGGCTCCGCGCCTGAAAACGACAGCGTCCCTTCCTCCGCGATGACCCCCGTCACCATTCCGCGTTTCTAAATCTTCAGAGCACACAACCTGTTAGGTGGAAAGCACACTGGGCGTGGAATGAATGACGAAAGTATGGCAACGCCTTCGGCATGACATCCACACTAATAATCCTTGACACCACGCAGGCAGAGGGGTGAGAACCCCCACGCCGTGCTCCAGATCGGGCGTATCTTCCGAGGAAACACCACGGGGGGGGGCATTAATGTAAATTTAGTGAGGGTGGCGTCAAGTGTTTCGTCGGGCCTGGCAGGGCCTTGCTGGGCCGACCTGACGCGGCCTGGCCCACCCCCGCCTCTTCCTCCGCCACCATCACCACCACCAGCGCGCCCGGGACGGACTTTGGCATGTTCCCGTCAACAGATCGCCAACAAAACGCCCTATCCGGCAGAAACACGACTCTGCACGCGTGTGTGAGCGTGTGTGTGTGTGTGTGTGTGCGAGTGCGAATGGCCATGCCCAGCCATACCTCCCCGGGCTTGTCGTCTGCCACGAGAGCGACAGTGTGTGTGTGTGTGTGTGTGTGTGTGTGTGTGTGTGTGTGTGTGTGAAAGGACGAAAAGGGGGCGGGGGCGAGGCAGGCACGGACAGCACCCAAGCCAGCAGCAGGGTCAGTGGCCCCGCTGCACGCACACACTCTCACACTCACACGCAGATGAATGCGGCTGAATGCAGCCCAAACGTCTGCACAATCACACTGTATGACGTCAGCGAGCGACCCGCTCACCGGCCTCCGCGGCCACGGCCACGGCCACGCGGCACACCGAAAAGTGGAGGCGGAGGCGAGGTGCCTTGACCGTCGTGCCGCCCGCCGCGCGGCCGCGCGTCCACCGTGGATCTTGACGGGCTTCTCGGCTTGGCCTGGGCTGCGTCGGCCGCCCGGACCCCACATCGCGGCGGCGCCCAGAACGCTATCGAGTGTGGCAAAGGCGCCGGCGCCGCGAGACGGAGACCGAGACAATCCGCAAGGGGAAACAAAAACGGCCCATGACGAGTGGAGCGGCGTGAGGTGGGTTCTGGCTGGACGCAACAGGATTGGACCAACCCGGTCAAAATTTCGCAAGAAGTTTGGGGAGTGAAGCCGCCGGCCCCAGCACGGGGAAGCGACGCTTCTTCGTACTCCCTCCCTAGGCCACCACGGCACATGCTGCATGTCGTCTGAAGTCACGGGTTTGAACACTGGGTGGGTGAGGCAGTCATATTCAATGTTAATATAATAAGGAGTTGAACCTGTGCAAATGTGACGTAGGATCGCAGGACGGTCCTGGAAGTTTTGCCATTTCCTCCAGGACCGTCCTGGAAACAGGCCCTCCATACAACCTTAGCCTTTCGGTCCTGGTTTTTCGAGGACGCGTTTTTACCGTGCAAGTTCGAGCCCCCTCTTTTGAAAATGAGAAATGGACGATTCGGAATCATCAAGGTGACGGAGTTCGCCGCGACAGGCGAGGGAGTGGGAAGGCGGCCGACGGCCTGCATAGACCGACTCCGAGAAACGCTGTCGTCGCCGTGTCTCTCTCGCACCCATAGGGAACGCCCCATAAGTGCGAGAGAGACAGCGACGAAGACGACTCTCTACTGCCTGGCTGCAGCAGGGGGCGTGGAGCTGCGTGAAGCGCACCGCGTTACCGCCGGTTACCGCCCACTTCGGCGCCGTGCACGGCGTGCCGATGAAAGCATAGCAACAGGTCGGCCAGACGAACCCCGAACAGCATGCCGAGCAGGTTCCCAAGAGAATCCTTGAACCCGCGAGGCACAAGCAGCCCTCAAATCGTAAAAGAGTGGAGTGCATGCGCGCAGCACCGCAGCCATGAGGGGTGCGGTAAGGGTTCAACCCGCAGGTGTCAAGTCGAGCGCACGTCGTGTTGCCCTCCAATCGGCCGGCGACGTCAACAAGTCCAGTGGCCACCCAATGTCAGACGAGGTCGCGGCTTCTAAACATTTGTGGGAGTTTTTCGGACGGACTGGACTGTCTATAGTTAGGCTTCGCCGAAAAAGTCAACCGAATCCACGGGGAGGCACTTTGGAATTCGAATACGAATAATTGTAGTCTCTAAATCCAGACTTCTATTATCGGCGTCTTCGTGGCACTCGGGGTCCCACCAACCAGATCCAGGAACTGGGACAGCGACCTGTCGCACCTGCTGAGTGAGGCGCTGGTACGGCCGCCCCTCGCGTCTGTTCATCCTCACCCACACCTCCCTGGAGGGGCGGGGCAGGGGCGGGGGAAGGGCCGGGGGGGGGGGGCTCTTGTCGTGTCCATGGGGGGCGCCCTGCGTCCCCGCGTGGCCCGGCGCTGGCTGGCATGTGGCTGGGTCGTGCGTGGGGTATGGGTGCTGGTCGCACACGGCGAGCCACACTCGTAGCGACGATTCCCAAACTAAATAACTTTTCCAGCCGCGTCGTCAGGTTGTTGTTTAGGGGTGACATGAAAATCAACTCGCGCGCTAGTTCGGGCCCGCCCCGCCCCGCCCCGCCCCGCCCCACGTCGACGCAGCCGATCCCCTTTCCTATTGACACAGTGCTGATTGATTGCCGGAGTGTAATTCGAATACTTTGGCTCGCGGGCTTGGACGCGGCGCCCCGACATTAATGCATTTTCTCGACACCACGGTCCGCCGCCTGTGTCTGTGTGCGCACCTGAACCGAGGACGCGCACCCTCCGCTCGGCCCTGCTTCGCAGAACACCACCTTGCGTCCCTCCCCTAGCCAGCCACCGGCCGGCGCCACTCCCCCACCCCGCCCCACCCCGCCACACCCCCGTCGCTAAACATGACAGTCAGCTGACAACGGCTCGTAATATGCATGATGCATGGCGCGCAGTGCGCAATCGGGATGTGGCACGGCTCGGCACGGCTCGGCACGGCTCGGTCTTCGTGGGGAGTCTAGAGAAACCGAGACCAGCCAGGCCAGCCGTCTCGTGTTATGGGCCCATGGACCCCAAAGCGACATGAATGTACTACCCTCCCGCGTCTGGTCATGAACCAACTCCACATGCGGCGACGCAGCGGCGGTCTAGGTGCCCGCCGCGCCCGCCACTCCCCGCAGGACCCCCAGGACGCCGACGGCTCCGACGGCGACGTCATCCGGGATGACAGCGCGTCCGCAAATAGTGTCTGACCGCACCGGTGCTTTTGGACGGCAAGTCGAGCAAGTCGAACGCGGCGTGCAGGGGGCAGGACGTAGTAAACACGGCGGCGGCCAAACAGGGCGCGGTGGCGTCGGGCGACCGGACCGCGGCGCAGAATCGCAGAATGGAGAGGCCTGCTTCTCCAACCAGCGCCCCAGCGCCTTGCCGCGCCGCGCCCCGCCGCCTCGCCTCTCGGCCCGTGGTCGTGGACCGAGCCCAGACGCAATATTTAGACAACGCGGACCCGAATCTTGTCCATGCGACGGAGCATCGAGGAATCCAACAACACCAAAATCAAAAACAGGGCGCACTTGAAGCGGCCGCTGGCGGCGAGGGCGAAGGATAAGAGGCAACAGCAGGCCGCCGATTCCGAACTGCGTCGCTCCGTCTCTCTCGCGCTCAAGGGGCGTACCGATGGTGTGCGAGAGAGACAGCGACGGAGGACTGTTCGGAATGAGACGGCGGGACGAGCCGGGGGGCGTCCGCGAGCCAAGTCGTAGGGGGCCAGGCACAGTGAACCAGAAGACAGCTGGAGGCGGCCAAAATTCTTGACGCGTTTTGAGCTCCAGAGTCGATTAACAGGACTCGAATCGCACGTGTGACCTCACCAATGGATTGCTCTCCGAACGAGGAATCCATTGGTGGGCTCACACGTCCGGTTTGAGTCCCATTTAGCCCTGGACAGGCGCGGATACCGGGGGGGGGGGGGGGGGGGGGGGTAAATGGGGTTTTGCCCCCCCCCATAGCCCATAGCCCAGCCGCCTGAAAGGTAGGAAAAAAGTGCTACTTTGCCCCCCTAATCCGCCTCTGGACTCGCCACTGGCCCTGGAGCTCAATAAACGCGTCCAAAATTTTGGCCGCCTCCACCGATCCTCCGGCCCACTGTGCGAGTTGCTTCGGGCGCGGCCCCTTGGTGAGGCAAGGCAACATGCCGCCATCCGCCATGCGATTGCGGCGCCGAGGCGAGCTGAGGTCGTTGCCGCAGTGGCCGGCCGGCCGGCCGGTGGGGCGTGCGCCGAGTGGGCGCAGCGGGCGCGGCTGGCGCGGTGGGGGCGGGGCGGGGCCGCGGCGGCCAATGACAGCGCGGGCCGCGGGGCCGCGGGGGCGTGGGGCGCGACTGCCATGCTGCGGCCCGGCCGGCCCGCCGCGCCCACCGAGCCCCGCGAGACCGCGCTTGCGTGACGTGTCTGCATGCCCGTCTACAGACTTTGGCGAAGCACGTTCCAAGAATCGCCTACGATACACTATTAGTCAAGCCTGCAAGGGTTTGACGACTTCAAAAATTCAAGCACGACGAAAATGTCTCTAAAAGAACTCTACTCATTCGTGCCCCAGCTCGTAAACGATTTGGCCACACTTTTAGTTTGGGTGCGTCGGGCTCGCAAAGTTGCCAAAAATGACGAAAAATTCAGAAATGCAGCCTTTCGGCGGACACCGCGTCCATTCTAGCTGTGGCTGCCTTCCCTCAACGTCCTCGTACTGGGAACCCAACTCTTTCATGCCCCAATTTGAAACCCTCACTAGTTTTTGAAGCACCGGCCTCGCAAAGTTGCCAAAAATGTCGAAAAATTCAGTTGCTGTCTTTGGGCGGCCACCGCGTCCAATCTAACTTATGGTCAAAGCTTTGGCAAACCTTCCCTGCGGCGGCGAGCCACCACCGCCTCCGCAGCCCCACCCCCACCCACCCGCTCCCCGCCGCCGGCCCGCGCCCCCGCCGCGCCCCGCTCCACCCCCGCCACCCGGGTCCCAGGCCCAGGGGGTCCTCCCCGTGCGGCTGGGCCACTGGCTGGGCCACTGGCTGGGCGGGCCGCGACATTCGTGCTCGGAGCTCCAGGCAGCCAACAAGTGTTTCCGTTCCGGTCTGGCGCCGCGGCCGAGTCCAGTGACGCCCCCAAGTGACAGCGTGACGTAGTGACGCAGTGACATGTGAGGCAGTGAACCCAGTGACGCGTGCGCGCCGTGACGTCCCCGTCAGTCTCCGTACAGTGCAGTGTCTGTGTTTTGGTGCGGCGACGTCACCGCGACCGGCACCCCGGCGAGCGTCGCAGTGAGTGTCCAGTGCAGTGCCCAGTGCAGTGAATGAGCCTGGCCATGCTGGCCGCGCAGGAGCAGCCGTCCTTCGCGCCCCGCGACGCGCCCACCTACGTGCTGCCGGACACGCCGCCGCCCGGGCCGCACCACTACCACCACCACGCCGGCTACTACCACCAGTACCACCATGGCCTCGCCGCCACGCCGTTCTCCGTGCGCGACATCCTGGCCGAGCACCACGCCGGCGGCGTGGGGTCGCCCTGGGCCGAGGCTCAGCCGGAGGAGTTCGGCGACCCCCTGCAGTACCCCGGGCCCGAGTACTACTGCAGCACCTTGCTGCAGCAGTACGAGCAGCCGCCCCTGCAGCAGCAACAGCCGCAACAGCTGCAGCATCAACACGTCGCCGGCAGCCCCTTCGTGTACGAGGCGACGGCCTGCTCGCCCTCCCCGGCCTCCACCACCTCGACGTCGTCCATGGCTGTGATGGCGTGCTCCAGCGCGGTAAGTTCAGGCGCAAAAAGTTGAGGTGGGAGAAGTGTGTGAGGGTGTGTCACCGCGAACAGAGCGCCTGCGGGGTAGGCTGCTGTCCAGCTTGCCGAACCTCGACGTCGACGTTGAGATGACGGCTAGCCTGCGGTCGGGTAGCCTACCCTGCCCCTGTCCGCACGGCACGCTCGCTATCGCTCAAGTTCGGGTTGTGTCTCTTCCCCCAGATGTCGCCCGCGCCGTCCGCCGCGTCCCCGCACAAGCCCGACGGGGCCCCGCCGGCGCGCCCCGCCCCCGTCCAGCGCGGGCCGGCCGTCGAAGCCTGCCTCGCCCGGCGTCGCCACCTGAGCGTCACGCCCATCCCCCTGGGGCCGACCACGACGGCAGCGCAGCCCCGGCCGCAGCCCCAGCCCGCGAGGAAGGCCGCGGACACCACCACGGGCACCACGCGGCCCCCGCCGCACCGCTCGCGCAGCAAGCGACGCCCGCGCGTGCTGTTCTCGCAGGTGAGCAACTGGAGTAGTTGCGTTGTCCCGACTTCGGCAGTGCCCAAGAGACTGATTCCGAGGGTCGAGTTCATCGCTCTGTCTCTCTCGCACCTCCACGTGACGCTCTATGATGAGTGCGAGAGAGACAGGCCGCTAAGTCAGCCCTTCCGTTCCTCCCGCAGGCCCAGGTGCACGAGCTGGAGCAGCGGTTCCGCCACCAGCGCTACCTGTCGGCGCCGGAGCGCGAGCACCTCGCCGTGGCCATCGGCCTCACGCCCACGCAGGTCAAGATCTGGTTCCAGAACCGGCGCTACAAGAACAAGCGCGGTGACCTGCCCCTGCCGCTGGCCTCGCTGGCCTCCGCCAGCACCTGCAGGACGCCGGCCTTCGGCGAGGCCAAGCGCCCGGCGGCGGAGGCCGCGTCCGCGAGCGGCGCCTCCGAGTCGCGGGGCGCGGCCGCGGCGGCGAACAGCCCGCTGGACTCGCGCGGCACCTTGCCGTCGACCTTCCGCGCCGACCTGGAGCACCAGCAGCACCAGCAGCACCACCAGCAGCACATGCCGCCTGCAGCGGCGCCCGAGGGCTTCTTCCAGAACGGCTTCACCTTCGGCCAGCTCCAAGAGGCGCCACAGCTGCACGCCCCCGCGGGCATCAAGCAGGAGCACCCCGAGCTGGACTTTAACGTGGAGCAGGCGGGCGCCATGTTTCAGTGGTAGGGGTGGAAAAACCTCGTTTTCGTGACAAATGTTTTACACTGCAAACCTAACTGTCTTACTAAGTACACACTTACAAATGCGTGCTTGCAAGTCGAGGGGCGCCCCACTGTAAAATTTGATGTACAATGATTGTGTGAATGTGCAAGAATGTGCAAGATTTCTGGCATTTTTGCCACACATGTTGCCTACTTACAGGCGTTTCCCCCTCCTGAATGTGGAATGTGGTCAATTTTTGTACAGTGAATGTGGGAAGCTGTTCCCCCCTCGTTGCAAGTACACACTTACAAACGCATGCTTGACGCCGTATAACTCCATGCGTCAAGCATGCGTTTGTAAGTGTGTACTTGCAAGCATGCATTTGTAAGTGTGTACTTGGCCAAGCATGCCATGCGTTTGTAAGTGTGTACTTGCAAGCACGCATTTGTAAGTGTGTACTTAGTAGACAGTTAGGTTTGTAGTGTATGCACCCTCTAGGACAACGGCGCTTGTTTTTATCGCGTAAGTTTGTTGTATTTTGTTGTTGTGTCGTATTCGTAATTTTACAGCCCTTTACCACTAATGACCAAAGACCGTAGCCAAATGTGTACGTAAGTGTACTTAAATTTAGTTGTAAGACCCGAGAAATTCTGTGAATAAGTAGTCAGTTTTGTTTTTGTTTGTCGTCATTTTTATTTTCATGGAGAGGCAGCAGTGAAACCTCACAGCGGGAAACGCAGTCGATTTGCCGGAGAGTGTCTAGACCTAGTTGGGTGGGAAAACCCACCAAAGACTAAATTTGACCCTAACTTACTCTTGCCATGCCGTGCCAAGTGTGCACCTGTTTCATATTGATTACAAGAATAATTACTTTTCCAAGAGTGTGATTGTAGATTCTCCAAAATAATGTCATTCTTTTCCTTGCCATGAATTATACTTTTAAAAAGTTTTTAATTTTATTTTTGGTCTTTTTGTTGTTGTTTTTATCCCGTATTTCTTTTTACTTCATTTCCATTGCCAACGTCGGCGTCCTTTGGCGGCTGACCAGCACTGACCGGAGATTTAAGTTAAGACCGCGCCAGCATTCCCAGCCTGGCGTGGCATGTGCACATGGCCCCTCGGACAGGCCCGCCCCGCCCCGCCCCGTCCGAGCAATGGCCGGCCCGAGATTTCACGGCCAAGAGTTGGCCGAGTGATTAAAATATCGCGCACAGTGGATCCCTTGTTCCGCCCAGTCTCGCTTTCATCTCGCTGCGCCGCTTCGACGTGACGCTCGTCACACACCGACGTGTGCAAGTCGGCACACTGATTTCCGAGAGTCGCTTTCGTCGCTCGGTCTCTCTTGCACCTGTGCGCGACGTCCCCTGAGTGTGGGAGGGACAGAGCGACGAAAACGACTCTCGGAGTCAGTCTGCTAAGGGGTTTTCGCGAGGGGGTAAACACTCGTGTAATACCCTGTACACCAAAACCGTGTATTACGCGTAATACACGTAATTGTAATACCATTTTTGGGCCAAATGTGCCAAATTTTGGCATTTTAATGCCGTAATACACGGGTAATACCCCCGTAATACAGCGTAATACCGAGTACTCTGTACACGATTTCTCGGAGTGTTTACCCCCTCGGGTTTTCGGCAGGGTTCTGTTTGCGGCCCTGGCCAGCCTTCGCGGGCAACAAGGCCGCCGTGGGCAGACAGCGAACGATACCGTGGAATGATGTGTGGCCTGATAGCGCGGCACCGCGGACCATCTGCCTGCAGTGTGCCTGCCTTCCGAATGGCTGTCTCCGTCTCACGGCCGCGGCGTCTATTTCTGCCGCCTGATTCCGAAGGATTGTTTCGTCGCTCTGTCTCTCTCACACCACCACGGAACTCCCCATGAGTGCGAGAGAGACAGAGCGACGTCAGGCGGCTGCTTTCTGCTCTCTCGCCGTGGCTGGCCGTGCCTAGGCCTCCCCGGCGCTCTAATGCTAATGGACCCCGATAACCGCCGCCGCCCGCCGGGCCGCCGCCGCACTGTGAGGGATGGGCGCGGGTTGGTGGCGCCGGGGCGCTGGCGCTTCCCCATTCCGAACAGTGGTTTCGTCGCTGCGTCTCTCTAGCAGTCCCCACGGGACGCTCCGTGAGTGCGAGAGAGGCAGAGCGACGCCAGAAGACCGGTGGAGGCGGCCAAAACTCCAGACGCGTTTTGAGCCCCAGTCACAATGGGACTCGAACCGAATGTGTGACCCCACCAATGGATTGCTCTCTGAACGAGGAATCCATTGGTAGGTTCGGTTCGAGTCCCATTTAGCGACTCTGGAGCTCAAACCGCGTCTTGAGTTTTGGCCGCCTCCACCGGTCTTCTGGCCCACTGTGCGACGAACGCGCCGTTTGGAATCCGCTTGCAGGCTGGGGAAGTCCCTGCGGACTTTGGCGCCGCAGCGACGAAAACGACTCTCGGAATCAGTCTGCCGCCGACGCGGCGGTGTCGTTCGCTTTTGGGCTTACGAATCATGCCGTATTTGAACGCGCGACATCATCACGATCCCGGCGTCGTCATCCATCATGTTCGAGTTTGGCGGCGCCATGGCCATGGCCGCGTGTTGCCTACCACCACGGCGCTCGGCGCCCGCTAGTTCCCACGACGGCCGTAGAAGGTGGCGGCGGCGCCACTGAGCGGGGCTCTGGCGGCTCTGGCACGGAGAGGGCGCGCGGGGTATCGCGCCTGGGCGGGCCGCGTGCCGGTGTCCGTCGCAAGGAGTATCGCCGCTCGCCGCTTTTCAAAGTTGTAAGCGATGCGATGGCATAGCTAAGTTATGAAATGGAAGATACTTTGATTTCGGTCGTGAGGGTCTCTTGCATAAGCGCATTAATCACATAAGGAATAAGAAAGAAAAATCGTTATTTCATAAATTAAGAATGCTAAATTTCAAAATTTTATTTACAATCTTGTACATATCACAACATTTAGCACATGGCACACAGTTAATTAAAATAATGATAACACTTTTTGCGGTCTCTTAAATATATGACATTTGATTTTTGCCAAGCTCTTTGTAAGCCTTCACTACAGACTCTAATTTAACAAATGCATCAACAAAGTCTTCCTCCATAAGACCAAATCTCAGGTACTGGTACATGTAGGCCTTGTGAGTAAACATTTTCCAAGCTTTATCAACAACAGTATTAAGTGGCACATGAAGCTGACTATTATTTGAGACAAGGAAGGCAAATTTATCTTGATCATTGAACCTGCGAGTTTGATGGCTATGTGTAAAGGCAGCATTTTCAGGCGCCCATCTGGGGTGCATACCTCTGCCAACAAAATCTTCCTCGGGACGGTATTGATTATTTGAAAATGCTAGTCCTCGAGTTACAAGATGGTTAGCGACACTGCATGAAAACTGTGTGGTAGAATGAACTGATGGCGGGACAGAGGATGGTTGTTTAAGTTCCCAATCCAGGGATACTGAATCAGAACTTAAAATATTTGTTCGAAGCATTTGCCTCATATGCTTTGCCAGCACACTCCATTGACACCCTCCATCAAATCTTCGGCTTTCTTTTGGTACATGTGGTGATGATTTAATGCAAAAATATTTAAAGGCAGGATGGGGAGCGATGCGGGCGATAATATCAGACATATTCAATTTCATGGAGAATGGGGTTTCTTGAAGAGGCTGGAAGCTTCCGGCCATCTTCAAAGCAATAAGGGAGTTCAAATCACCAATGCCAACAGTTTTGAAATTCAACAAACTAGACAGCATACTATGCAAATGATCATTTTGAAGCAGGAGAGTGGCATCTGACACACTCAAAATTTTGGCCAAGCTAAGCAAAGTATTATAAGACTGTGTAACTACTTCACCTGCCTCAAAGGGTAAAACTACAGCATTGAAGAAGGCCTTCTTTGAATATTCGTCCCGAATATTTTCCATGATGTAACTTCCAACTCCTGATCCAGTTCCTCCAGCTGAGCTCATAATACTGAAAATACCTGATAACCGATCAACTTTCTCATTTTGAAAGCGAAGAGCTTCAGAAACGCTCTCCAGAAGCTCTGGACCTTTTCTTTGGTATCCGAGCGCCCAGTTGTTACCTGCCCCTCCACTTCGCACAGCACACGTACGTTCATTGTACGCCCATTGCCTGTTTGATGATTGCTTCTTAAATGACTCTTGTACAACTTTGTTTTCAGTATCAACAAGAACGGCTCGAGCAAATAGTTTTTTAGAGTCCACATCTTCCTCAAACCACTGATTTACGGAGTTTTGAATGTACAACTCATTGTCTCGAGCTGAAACACCTGGCTTCGGGGAATGTATGTCTTTTGCTAACGTTGAGAACAACTCGTGTCCCACTTGATTTCCACACTGTCCAAACTGCAAGGTTGTGAGGGCCATTGCTGCTCACTCTAATGAAGAATCTGTCCACAATGTCTGAAACGCAGAAACAAATGTCATGGAGTGGAGGCTTGACTAAATAGCTTGTGGAGCTACATGAATACTAACCACCAAATCTGAGATTGGAGATTTTTCTCTCACATTCTTTGTCACTGAATTCAAACAAGAATGACTGAATTGACAGTGAACCATTTTTCATCTGTCACATAACCTGGTTATTCTGCTGCCGGGGAAAACAAATAACAATAACAACAACAAGATGGGATACAGTGTATGCAGCACAACGGAATCAACGACATGCAGAAGTAGTTCAACATTGGTGACTCAGCACTTCAAAGGAAGAACAATAGATATTCTGCAGTGTTTCTGGAAATTACTGAGAGAAGGGATATCTCCTTGTTCAAGATATTGTCTATTGAACGGTGATGCCACTCGAAGGGAATTTAGCGTTGAAACTGTGGGAGCCGCAAGAATTCCATACCCATGATGCCTCAGTGCATGTTTTTAGTATGGCTGGTGTCGTGTGCTTGTAATATTTTCTCGTGTATTTGAATGAATTCTTGTATTAAATGTACTTTTTCTTCACGAAGCTTTTTCTTGAACCATTCAAGAGTTTTGAGAGAACACGGAACCGTCTTCTTTAAGTTTGAGTGAGTACATCTAAGGCACGGTTTCATTCTTTTTTTTACTTCCTGATCTGTCATCTGGTTTGTTTATCGCGATGCAGAACATTGTAGCCCATAACTTAAAGCCTTTTCGTACATCCGACTGCTTTCTTATGAACTGCGTGATCGGATTTTCTTCGGAAGCGTTTTATATTCTTTAATAACAAGATACGAATGTGATTTTACCCCTTTCGTAGCTTAGGCGGTATTATGTATAGGTTAGTGTGTTAACCATTTTTATTTTGAAAAAGTAGAAACAGATTTTTGTAAATGGTTTAACAAGTTTGACTTTTGTTACCGAGCCTTCTTCTCCTTTTTAAGTTTGTTTTCTTTATCATTTTTAAATAATATCACACTATGGACCAATTTTCTGAACTACCAACTTAGCATTCTTTCATTTTTTCAATGCCACAACAATTTCCTTGACAATTTATGGTAAATTTATGTATTAGAACTTACAGGCATTTCAACACAGTTTTATTGTATTTCAAGTACATTAAAATTCCATTGCAACAGTAATGAATGCTAAAAATGTTTCATTGTTTGTCTTAAGACAGAAATTATTGATCAGTCATTTTAATCAGTATTATCGTAACTGGTGGCATGGCACTGTGATAAATGACAGAAAATCGTTTATGGTTGAGGGTGAGGCATCAATTTTTAGTTCATCCGCAAAATCCATAAAAGCCAATGAATTTACTTTCTGTTCCGTTGTGTCCAAAAGACTCAAATTTATTCAAACTGCTCGTCCACCCACCGTACTCTCTGGATATTTCTTTTTAATTTTTCTTCCCATCATGCCTGGTGTGTTTTAATTATTATCTTTGTGCTAGTGGCAAATTTCTGAGGACAGTGACCTCATGTCAGGACTGGAGTGGTTTAGGCTTGAGTCGTGATGATGTTCGTGCCATGAGCTGGGGCTGGGACAATACAAGAGGGATTCACCCAGCAGAGCTGCTGAGCGATTCAGAGGATCGGTTTGTCGCTCTGTCTATCTCTCTGGCGCCCTCATGGAGAGCGCCATGAGCGCGGCCGAGACAGGGTGGCGAAACGACTGTTCTGAACCGCTCGGCTGCGGCCCACATGACGTTCGCGCCGGGGGCTCGCGGCTCGGGGCTCGGGCCCCACCACGCTACGCCAAGCTACGCCCCACCGGGTCGCTCTGCCAAGACCGGGGGCGAAGTGCCATGGGACGCCGCGGCGGCGTGGGGCCCTGGCCGGGGCCCGGGCCGGGCAGGGCAGCCTAGTCCTGAATGGCACATGGCTCTACGAGAGTGCGTCGCGGCGCATCGCGCAGTCCGTTTCGCGTCTCCGCGTCGCGTCGCCCAGGCCGCGGCCCTCCGCGTCGCGTCGCCCAGCCTTGGCCGCCCCGTCCCCGTCCCCGGCCCCGGCCGCGCGGTCCGCGGTGACGCTTGACGGCGTGGTTCGCGGTACTCGTTACAGTGCGGCGCGCGTCGCGATTGTGTTGTCCGTGGTGTCCCGGAACCGCGCGTGACGCGGCGGAGCCCCAGGCAGGACGTCGCAGTCGGCTGCAGGGCCTGCACGGCCTGTCCTGTCCAGGGTAAGGAAAGCAAGGGAACGCGGACGGCCGCCGCCGAGGCGCCGAGGCTCGAAGCGCCCCGCGCCAATCCGCGAATCGCGAAGCGGCGGCCCGTCGACGCCGACACGCCGGCAGTGGAGGGGAGGGGGCGTCGTCGTGGCCCCGGTGATACTGTGACCCCGTCGGCCCGTCGGCCCGTCGGCCGGCACGACCCGCTCGGGGTGCTGACGGCCTGGCGGCCTGGCGGCTCGGTCGGGTCCCAGGCCCAGCCGCGCCAAGCCGCGCGAAGCTAGTCAGGCTCGCGGGGCTGGACTCGATACAAAGTACGTGCGCTGCGCCCGCTGCGCCGCGCAGTGCCCGCTGTATGTAGTACCGGTGACGTCACCGCCTTGCGTTTATTGCCATTGTCCGAGGAGGCTGTGTCGGGGGCGCTGGGCGTGGGGCCGAGGATGTCGCAGAGGCGGCGGAGGCGTACGGGCGCGGAGGCAGCGCGGCAGCGCCCATGAGGGAGCCCGCAAGGGAGCGGGCTTGACAAAGGTCCACGAGGCCGTCGCCCTGAACGGCGCAATCTCCCCACCAAATTAATTCAAATGTACTCGAGTAAAGCCGATGTTGTCTCCGCTGGAATCGGCTCGCTCTGTGTGCTCGTACTAACAGTGTGCTCGCTGCTTTGCTTCCAGGCGCGGCGATGGCTCTCGAAGCGCTCGGCGCTGATTTCGGCTCCACGCCCCCGGCCCAGTGCAAGGCCCAGTGCAAGGCCCAGTCCTAGGGTAAGTACTGTATGACTTGACTTCCTGGCTGCTGTGAGGCTTCCCCCTTCCCCAGGCCGCGGGCCTCGCGGTCGCGTCTCGGCTGCTGCATGACTGCATGACCCTGGCCCCGTCATTGAGTCTGTGCACTTTTTGTCCCATTCGGTGCATGCATGACCCCCGCGCGGTGGCGGCGACATGAACCCCGGACCCCCTAGGCAGTCCTACCGACGCGAGGTACATCCGGGACTGCCTACCCAGTCGGCGCCGCGGTCCCAGTCCCGGGCGCAAGCAGAGGGCCGGATCGACGCGCACTGTAGCAGGGCCGTCGGCGCGTCCCCCATGGAGGCCTGCATCCTGCATGCCGAGACTGCCGAGAGGTTGGCGGGGAAAGCTGACCTAGGCCGCTGGGCCGCGCTGGGCGGAGGGAAGGGCGGGCCCAGCGCGGCCCAGCGCGGCGCTGCATCTCATTCTTTTGCCAAGCCGGGCCTCTACCAGCCGCCAGTCCGGCCGCTCAGTTTGTTTACGCTCCCCAGTGCATGATTATGTATCGGCCCGCTCTCCCTCCACGCTGAGGTGCACATGGTGTTGCAGATGGACGGCGTCCGCGCGCTGGACGTGCTGCAGCTGCTCCAGGAGCGCCTGGCGGTGCTGCCGGGAGGCCGCGACCGTCGCGGCGGCCCCGTGCTGTGCTTCCCCGCCGCGGCGCGCCGAGACCGCGCCAAGCCGGACGACTACCGGCGCCTGCTGCAGTACCTGCTTCAAATACCCGGGTAAGTGGTGGTCAAGGGTCGGGGCCTCGTTGGCGGCGTCGCGGTGCTCGTGGTCGCCCTCGGCGCGCGGAATGCCGCCCGGGCGGACGACGCGGGCCTCGCGCGTGCCGATAGCCGCGCCACGGCGATCAAGGAAGTGGGGGCGGCCGGCCGGTGATTGCTTCTGGCCGTCATCTGTCGAAGCACCTGATGTGCAAAGCCGGGCAGGCCGTGCAGGCCGTGCCGGGGAAGGGAAGGCGCACCTGCAGACTGCCTGGGCCGCGGCGACCCAGTGAGGCTTGGCTGTGCCGGCTGTGCCTGGCAGCCTGAGTTATGCAACTGCAGCGCCCCGCGGCTCGCGGCCTCGCGGCCCATGGCTCATCGCGGTGCCTGCACGGCCTGCATGCCCCTGCCCTGCCCGTGAGCCGCCAGCCGGCACCGCGGCCTGCACACTCATTCCGTCGCTCTGTCTCTCTCGCACCTGTACAGAACGCCGCGCGAGTCGGACAGAGACAGAAAACGACTCTCGGAATCAGTCCGCTGCCTTCGCCTTCGCCGGTCCAGAGCACGTACGCGGCCCGCGCCTGCCGACCCGCCTGCCTGCCGGCTAGAGGCATTGTAATGGGGCGTGTGCTCGTCAAGCTCGTTCCGTTCTCTCACGGGGCGCCGCCGTGCCGTGCCTTGCTGGGCCTGGCCGGCCTGGCCTGGCCGTCCGCGCCGACATGTCGGCATGTGAACGTGTGCACACGCCGCGCCCGCCGCGGGCCTCCAGGCCTCCAGGCCGCCGGGGGCCCTCGGCGTGCGTTGCCGTTAGGCCTGCCTCGCGCTATTATTGTGACTCTCATTGACGGATATCAAAGGACGGCCTGCCCGTAGGCGCGGCGTGGGGTGGGGCCCCGGTTGGGCGGTAGTAGGCGCTGGCAGTGTGGGGGCTTCCGCTCCGACGCGCGCCTAATTAGGCGTCCACTCGCGGGGCCCTCGCGGGCGGACGCGGGAAAGCGAGAAAAAGGCCGCATTTCCATGTCTTTTTTTGCGCGCGGCGTCGGGGCGGTCGGCGCCTTGTTGACCGTGGCTGTTACCGCCCTGCGAATCGACGCGTCCTTTCCCCGCCGACTCGACGGCACGACACTGGCGGGGCGCGGGGGGCGCCGAGTCCTTTCGCGGAGACGTGACGCGCTGGTGACGCGGATGGCGGAGGAAAGATGTTTCCCGTCGCGACCGTCGCCGCCTTTGCCAAGTGGGCGGTCGGCTGGCCCGCGGTCTGCCTGCTTGGCTGCCTGCTTGGCTGCGGCCGGCCGGCGTTTATGTCCGTCAGGCTCCGCTTTCGCTTACTAATGCGTGTGCTGCGTGCGGCTGCGTGCGGCTGCGTGCCCTGGGTGGGGGAGTGCTCGGTGCGCGGGCCGGGCATGCGGGGCAGGATGCAGAACCGGCTGGAATATGCATCTCAGCCGCGCACTGCTCGGAGTCGCCCGCGCGCCCGTCGCCGACGTCACGGACCTCGTTTTCCCAGGGCCGGGCGGCGGCCGGCCGCGACCGAGGTTTCGGCGGTCCGCCAAACGCAGCGGCTAGGTGGGCGCGTCCCGCGGCGCCGGGCCCTGGCGCCGGCGCCACATGGCGGGCAGGTTCCCGGGGGGCCTTGTTCTTGCTCCTTGTTTCCGGGAGCGCGAACTAGACTCCAGTCCCGGGGCTTGGGAGCCTCGGTGCGCCTCGGTGTGTCGAACGCGCCCGCCACGCCCACGCCACCCGCAGCAGGGCACAGCCACGGCAAGGCACGGCCAAGGCAGCAGGGCGCGCTGGATAACGAAAGCGGAGTGCGTGCCGCACCGCTGCGCCGTGCGGCGTGCGGGCGTGCGCGTCGGCGTGCGTGCGTGTGCAAACGGGCAAACGGCGGGTAAAGCGAGTCAGTAGGACATGATGCCGCCGTCGCACCGTGCCCCGCCCCGCCCCGCCCCGCCGCGTGGGCGTGCCCGAGGGGCGTGCCTCGGCCCGTGGTGCGTCGCCGGTCGCTAGTCGCGCACCAGGGCCTCCCCATTCTCTCTGAAGGGGTTCCTGCACTGCAGACCGATGCCCAGAGTCGTTTCCGTCACTTCGTCTCTGTCGCACTCTTGGGGCGGGGCTAGGACCTAGGTGCGAGAGAGACGAAGCAGCTCTCGGAATCAGTCTGTGTGGGCAGTGCTGCGAACAGTGTCCGTCTTCGAAGGACGTAACTTCGCCCCGGCCCGGCACCGTGTCGGCTGCGGGCGGCAACTGCACTGCAGGGTGCAGTCCAAGTCGAGTCCAAGTTGGTCCAAGTCCGCGCACCACTCTCCACGGCGCGCTCCGTGCTGTCGCTATGGTTACTGGCGCCCCGCCAGGAACAGCAGGAACAGCCCGGGCAGCTGCGGGCCGCTCCTCTGCCCGCTCTGCCGCGCCGCTCTGACTGTGACTTGCGCCCGATTTTGCCGCCCCCCCCCCTCTTCCTCCCTTGTGGGGCCGGCGAGGCAGCGCGGCCGGCGCGATGAGGTGAACGGGGTGGGTGGGGGAGGAGGGGGAGTCTTGGACAAAACGGAATGGTACTTCCTCGGGCTGGTGGCCGCGGCGGTGGCGGGGTGCGCCGGGGTGGCGCCTGCGAGTCGCGGCCAAAGACACCAAAGGCCCCGCTACAGACATTCCGAGAGTCGTCTTCGTCGTCCTGCCTCTCTCGCACTCGTGGGGCGTGGCGTGTACGAGCGAGAGAGACAGAGCGACGAAAAAGACTCTCGGAATCAGTCTGGCAGCGGGCGGTGCGGCGGTGGCGGCGTATAGCAGCACGCCCGGGAGTGCGGCCCCGTGCCAAGCATCGCCAAGCATCGCGCCGGGCTGCTTTCGTAGCTTTTGTGTCCGCCGCCACCCACACCGCTAGCGCGCCAGCGTGCGCCAATGTAGGGACCTCTAGCAGAGGGCCGCCTCGCCATCGCCCCTCGATAATGACGGCGTCGTGTCGTTTTGCCTTTCCCTCTTCCTTTGACTTGCCTCTCGCGTTACACTGTTACACGGCCACCATGATGGCTTACTCCGCCTTTTATCGGCGCCGAGCCGAGCCTTCAAGCCGACCGGGTCGCGGGTCGGGTCGGGGGGTCGCCTGTCATTACGTCCAATATGTCCCGGCCTGCCCGGCCTGCCCGCGGCTAACTCGCTATCGCTGGCGCGCGGCCGCAAGTTCAAGACCCCTCTGGTGCCCAGTGCCCCCGCGGCCACGCGGCCCCGCCCAGCATGCGGGCTGGCCCCGCGCTTTTCTCGCACGCTTTGTCAAGGCCTGCCCGAGGGCCTGCCCGCCCTGCCTCCTTCTCCTCGTCGTCGTCGTCGTCCGCGTCCCTGATGGGTGTGGGTTGTGGGTGCCGCCATGGAGCGCGCGCGCGTGCGCACTTCACGCAGCGCCGGCAAAAACTCACAATTGAATTGTCCTCACGGCCATGCCGTTCCGTTTTCGTCCCGAGAGGGGGCCCTGGGCTGCAGGCTGATTCCGAGAGTCGTCTTCGTCGCTCTGTCCCTCTCGCGCTCATGGGGCACCCCGCATAGGCGCGAGAGAGACAGAGCGACGAAAACTACTCTCGGAATCAGTCTGCAGGCCGGGCCCCGTCGGCCGGAAGGCGGCACGCGCGGCACGCACGCGGCACTGGCGGCGCACTCGACGGCGCACGCCGTAAATTAAAGTCTTCCTTCCCCGTCGCGTCCGCGCCGTCCGCGCCGTCCGCGCGTCACCCCAGCGGCCTGGTCTAACGGCGCCGAAACGCAGAGCGACGCGCGAGTTTGTCTTAATTAAGTGCATCCAGCGAATTGCCGGTCGCGGAATTGCTGCCGGTCTGGCGGTCCGCCGCGGACAGTTTGCCGTGGAAACGCGTCGTGCAGTGCGACGGCGTGGCAAGGCCGGAATTGGCGGCCGAGGTAGCCGGGGGAAGCACCAGAGTGGGAAAATAGGACTCGCTCCCCTCACGGACCGAAGATCCCTCGAGCGTGGGGTAGTGCCGCGGCTCCCTTTTGTCACTCGGTCACTGGAATCGTCTATACTCCACGGTCAGGGCGTTGCCTTTGTTGAGTGTCGTCGAAGTCATTTGTTGTCGTAGATGTGGAGGGAATGACCTTTGTCTATACCCTGCGCGCGCGAAGTGTGTGGTCCGCTAGGTTGGCAATGCGAGTGCCCAGCCGGCGCGTGGGGTAGCGACGCTGGGCGGCAAGGGAAGGCCCGAGGTTGGCAATGCGAGTCCCCGGCGCGTGCGTTAGCGACGCTGGGCGGCAAGGGAAGGCCCGAGGTCGCGTGCCGCGTGCCGCAACCGCCTCCGGTTTCCCCGCGGTCGTTGTCGATGCTGCGGAGCGATTCAGAAGAGCGGTTCGTCGCTCTGTCTCTCTCGCACCCCCATGGAAAGCCCCACTAGTGCGAGAGAGACACAGCGACTGAAATAACTCTCGGATTCAGTGTGCAGTGCAGGTGACTAACGTCGATGTCGTTTCGGTTGTTGGCAGCAATGAGACGCGGGAGCGCGGCTTCACCGCCGTGCTGGACATGCGCGGCCAGGGCGGCCAGGCCACCTGGGCCGCCATCAAGCCCATCCTCAAGGTGCTGCAGGAGCACTTCGCGTCGCAGGTCCACACCGCCTGCATCATCAAGCCGGACAACTTCTGGCAGAAGCAGCGAACGTCTCTGGGCAGCCACAAGTACAAATTTGAGGTGAGTCTTCCCTTCCTGGCGCGTCGTTATGCACTCTCATTTTGCTCTCTTACTGACCGCTACCCATTCCTTTTCAGACCAATATGATGAGTGTCGAAGCATTACCAAAGATTATAGAGACTTCACAACTTACGTCAGATTTAGATGGCACATTACATTATGATCATGCTCAATGGATAGACATGAGGCTGGTATGTAGACAATAGCCTTTTGTAATTGATGTTTGTATGTGTTGTTTTAAGATTATTATTAGTGTATGTTGAAATTATTGTAGGCCCTGGAAGACTTTGTGTGGCAAGCCGCAGATTTATTAGATCGTTTAGATGATCTACAAGAAGATTTGAGCCGTAATGATTTTGCTGACGATGTGAATGGTGCAAAGCATGGCATTGATGTTCATAATGATATGAAGAAGAAAATTATGAAAGCGCCCGTTGAAGAAATAGATATGTTAGGTCAAAGATTATTACAAAGGTTTGTTCTCCAAATATCTACTGGCATTCACTTTCCTGCCTCTTTTTAAGATTCACTCATTGATGTTCTATTTGGTTTCAGGTTATCTGGTGATTCAAATAGTGGTTATGACTCTGGGTATTCAGGCCGTGACAGTGAAGCCAGCTCAGGCGTTTCAAATCCAGATTTGCAAGCATCTGTACCTCAGGTCCTGCAGCATCTGGAAGCCATCCACTCACAGCAACAACAATTGCTTCAGTTATGGCATCATAAAAAACTTAAATTAGATCAGTGCTTTCAGCTGCGCTTATTTGAACAAGATTGTGATAAGGTGAGTTCTCCTACACAAATAACATTAATCCTGTGAAATTATTTTAAGTAAATGTGTTCCTTTGCTTATTATTGCTGCAGATGCTGGACTGGATATGCCACAACCGTGATATATTTCTGATGAACTATGTTGAAATTGGACGCACATATAAATTAGCTAAGCAACTTCAAGAAGAACATAGTCACTTCACTATGAGCTCAATGGTTTGTACATAACTATTCCTATTATTACTTCATTTAACATATTTTTTGTTGCTGTTTTACCTATTTCTTCTTCCCACAGAATGTTTATGTTAACATCAACCACATTTTGTCTGTGGCCTCTCGGCTTATTGAAAGTAACCACTATGCATCCCAACATGTAAGAGCTGTTGCTGCAAGATTAGACCGAACATGGAAAGAATTTGCTGCAGGCCTGGATGAAAGAACTTCTGTGCTGGGCCTCTCTGTTCTTTTTCATCATAAAGCAGAACAGGTTTGATTTGCAACCAGATAGTTAAAACCTTGTTAGTTATTGGATGCATTGAAATTTTATATCATTCATTCATTGTCACTGTTTCAGTATGTGGAGAATGTTCCCAATTGGAGCCAAGCTTGTGAAAACATCAGTATTCCATCTGAAATTATGATTCTTGAAGCTGCCATTCATCAACATCAAAACCTTTATGAGTCAATGTGTCAAGCTTATACAGAGGTAAGATTCCCCATTAGCATTTTCATTCATACAAAAATTAAGTTTCCTAATTATTTGACATTAATTAAAGGGCATGTGTTTGAATAATTTGTTGTGAAGTTCCCTTTTCCCGATTCAAAGCCTCTGTAGTAGAAGAAAACTCTTTGACTGTAAATTACATCAAAGTGTGTTTCACCACTATTATTGTTTGATGTGCGACTTAATTGTGTGTGATGGATCAATACGCATTTATAATTTAGCCTATTACAAATGACTCTTGATCATTTTCAGTTCTGTATCACTATAGTTTGATGTAGCTTTAACACCAGCAGTGCACAATGACCACTGAAATCAGAACTCGTCCATGGATTTCAACTTGAACCTAGGAAAACTGCTTGTACTTCAGCCGGACCAATAGGACCGCATTCTTGTAACCATTTACCCTAAAACAGCTTAACATGAAAAATTCAAACTTTTACTTTGCCTAAAAAAATTTAAACTGTGATGTGTATTATATGTATTTCAGATTTATATGTATTTCAACTTTACATCTTTAATTGTAACTTATTTTTTTTACTCTTTCGGTTAGGCTGACTTGTTGGTCCAGAATCGGATTTTTGCACAGGCAAGCGGCACCTTTTTCCTAGAATGTTGCATCAACCCTCTCTTACTACATGGCATGATATTTTGGAAACATTCAACATCTCAATTTCTATGGATGTGTTGAATCCTGCATGCAGTGTGTTTATTTATCTATTTATTTCAGTTTATAGAGCTTTACCACTACAGTTTAACTATATGTACTGTACAAACATGGTTGTCTGTCTTTAGAGCTGCACCATGACAGCAAACAATATTTGACCCTTTTCAATTTCATTGATTTTTCTTGAGTTGGCTTCCACTACTGTTGCAGAAATTTCTATTCTTCACCCACACGTTAAATTGATTATTTTAAAAATTTTATCAGCACCCTAATTTTTTTCTCCTTTAAGCACTGTTTTGTTGAAAGTGTGGTAAAATGTTGTGTGCTAGTTGTGGTCATAGATAGGATATTTATCACCAACATAAGGTCATTTAGTAGAAATGAAAAAAGATGTCCCTCATATGCCATGCCATAAATGCTCATAGCAACACTGCTCATCTTAACATTTAGAGTTAAGATGTGTGATATTTTCATGGTATCACCTAGCATGTGATGGTGTTGTAGTGCTAGTTGAGCCATTATGGTCTTCATAGTTTCATTCATTTATTCTTCTGTATTCATCATGCGGACGTTTTCTGAAAGATGTAAAAGTGGAAAAGAAATAACAAGTTTGAAAATTTGCTTCATATACATGTTATGTCTCACAGGTGTACGATTCATATCAGTCCCTTCTTAATGGACTTGACCTTTTAGTTCAAGTATGTCACAACTTCCCGTCTCCGGCTGTCCGCAACGAGAACAGCAAAGTTACAGCCGTGACAGAAGTTTCCTCAAACACCAGTGTCGATACTATTGATGGAAAAAATGTATGTTTCTTTCCGCCATCAGCTTCCAGTGAATGATAACATGGTGTTGGCTAAATAAAATATTTTTGAATGTAAAGCCAGAATACGGGTGGAGGTTCTAAGAAATAATTTAATCAGTCTGGTTCTTGATGGCATGTTAAAATCTATCTTCCATGTCTATCTTCTCCAACAGTGTTGAAATGTGCTGAAAAAGTTTTAAGCCAGCCCTGTCTCTGAATAATTGTCTCAGTGAGCTGGTCACAACTCGTGTACCATACACCCTTGCTGAAAACTGCAATCTCATGGAAGAGGCTCTTTTCTTTTCTATCTTTCTCTTTCAGGAAACAGTGCATATTGAAGCTCCCACTTCATCTTGGGGGATGTGGTGTACCTTGTATTGCTGTTTCTCACATTTGTACTCATCTCTCATTAACTGGTGTGGTGTTGGTTTTGTCTTGCACAGGTCCACAGCACAAGCAAAAAGTTGTTATATCAGCTGGATCATCTTGTACAGATCTGTAACCAGCCAGGAATGGATCCTCCTCGCAAACATGTATGCCATCCAGTTTTCTCTTCTATGGACGTTAACCTAGACAGTAATTTTTATAATAAATTCGTGAAAGGCTATCATTAAAATTTTGTTCAGTAGATTGTAGCACATATGTTTGTGCTGAATAGTAGTATTGGGCAGAACATGCATCCTGCATTGTGTGTATTTTTTTAAAGTTTCATTTTTATATTATGTTCTTTCTGTTCGCAGTTTTTTTTTTGCCATTCGTTCTGTTTCCTAACTTACTATTCCTTTAAGCTTCTTTTATTTTCATAATTTGTTTCTTTTTACTTATTTTAAAGAAAACAAGAAGAAAATCATCAGGACGTGGATCTGTAAGTCCTCATTAGTAAATTCATTAATTTGTGTTAATTTGTTTTTGTTGCTTTCTTAATTGTTTATATTTTTAGTTTTGTATTATTTGTTGGTTAAAGTAAAATAGTCTGTTGAGTGCTGTTGTATCTACTCCTGTGGTTTGTGGGTTGAGTAGTTTGCTGTTGGAAAGTTGAAGTCGATAATTATGGCTTTCAAACTCTCTTTTGCTTTTTGCTTTCTAACTGACAATAATATTTAAAGGTATATAGAAACACAACTTTTTTTCCACATGTCACATCTGATAAGTTTAAGCAGCACAGTAGGGCTTTCATATCCACTTATCCTGGACAACTCTCCTTCAATTGTTGAATCTTTTTCACTGTCATCTGATAATTACAATTCAGTATGAAGCTTATCGGTGCTGGCTATGCATCTCTCTGTTAGATCTAAATGGTGTATGCTTCATTTTGATAGGCATCACTTTTTTTTTTTTTTTTTTGCGCACGTTGAATGTTGTTTTGTCGGTTATCTGTAAATAGTAATTTGTTTGTTGATTCTTGTGTAAGACCATGAACTATTGACTTTTACTTACGTTCCCATTTGAAAGGCGACACTCTGACCGCCGTTTGCTCTTGCCCCTCCTAGCAGACGGGCAGTGGGGAAGGCCAGCAAGGCCAGCACTTCGAGGCCGGCACTGGCACCGCCCCCGCCCGCCAGGGCACCAACCCCGCGGCGGACTACTCGGAGGGCGCGAGCCACGTGCTGGACGTGATCCACAGGATCCTGAACCACCACCGCGCGCTCGAGCAGAAGTGGCACGTCAAGAAGATCAAACTGCACCAGCGACTGGCCCTGCGGCTGTTCCAGGAGGACGTGAAGCAGGTTCGTTTCGCGGCCGACCGTGTGCTGCAGTGCTGTACCTTTGTGCTGTGCACTGCCCGACCCAAGCACCCTGCACTCGTGCGTGGTGGGCGCGCCCTCCTTGATGGTCACGGCCTTCGCTCTTTTCTCGGCAGGTGCTGGACTGGCTGGCCAACCACGGGGAGGTGTTCCTGCGGAAGAACATCGGCATCGGGCGTAATCTGCAGAAAGCGCGCGTGTACCAGAAGAGTCACGAGCACTTCGAGAACGTGGCCCAGGTGAGTGATGGTGCATGGACCGGCTAGGCTAGGCCTGGCCCATCCGCTGGGCCGCGCGGCGAGAGGGCGAGAGGGGGAAGGACGACGAGGACGATGAGTCAGATTCCTCGGAGTCGGAGAGGGAGGGAAGGCGAGGCGAGGGTGGCACGCGTGCCGTCTCCGCGCGGCCGTCACGTCCACGTGCGTGTGTGTGTGCGTGTGTGTGTGTGCGTGCGTGCGTCTGTGTGCATGACGGCCACGGTCCGTACAGGACAGTAATCCGGGGCGAAAGGCAGATCACGTCGACGGACTCATTACCTCGCGCGGCAAATTCCTGCCCACGGCGACACTGACCCGACCGACCGGCGACACGGCGACACCCACACCGACGTCACCGGGCTAACGGCAACCTGACGCCCGCCGCGCTGCCGCCAGTGCCAGTGCCTCCACCGCGTGGCCGTGGCCTAGCGCGCGGCGCGGACGGACCCGGGTTCGCGAGCCGCGTGCCGCCGCCGCGGTTTGCAGTGACGAACGCGTTTCTTTGTGTCCGCCCCCGCACCACGCTGCGCCACGCGCCCTCCGTAGACAAGGGCTCTCGGACCGGGGCGGGGCAGGGCAGAGGAGGCTGGTTCCGCACGGAAGGTCCCGTCGTATCTCTCTCGCACCCACACGGGACGGTTGATGAGTGCGAGAGAGAGGGAGAGGCCGCCCTGTCGGATTCAGTCCGCAGGGGCGTGCGTAATGATCATTGCGGGACAACTAGACGGGGTGGATGGGACACTGTTGGGACGGGCCGGACGGGCGGATCGACAGCAGGCTTATTGTCTTCCGAGCAGCTCTTGTCGGGGTGAACGAGCCGAGCAGGGAAGGGCCGGTGCCGGCACGGCCGGGGCGGGGGAAGGGGGGAGGGCGTTAGGCCCCGCCCTCCCCCACCCGGCGAGCAAGTAGACAACAACATAAACACAACAACCAAGACCAAGGCGGCGACGAAGAAGACGAGGCAACGGAGAGGGGCGGCGCGGAGCGTGTGAGCAGAGCTGCTCGCCGCGGTCTGGACGACGACGACGACGCCCCGGTGTGGAGTGTGGAGGCCGGTGGAGGCCAAGCCGTTCGCCAGGTTGGTGGTTGGACTCGGGGCAGCCCTAAGGGCAGCCCTAGAAGTGGCGGTGCATCCAGCCGAACCGATGGCCCGCGGCGGCGTCCCGCAGCAGCCTTTATCGGCAACCTCGCCTCCAGGACCAACGGACCCCTCATGCTCATGTGTGCTGGGGTTGGGCTGGTCCTGGTCGGGCGCGCGCCTCCCCTCCCTCGCCTCGGCACGCCACGCCGCCACGCCGCCACGCCCGGTGTGCCCTAAAGAGCTGCAGGCAAGCGTGCTGTGCTCTGAGCCCTGCCGGCCCTGCCGGCCCTGCCCGTCTGGTTTCCCCATGCGCGGAGAACGAGATGGTCCAGACAGACTCCGACTCCAGCCGTGGCTGTGCAGTGCTGTGTGGGGCGGCGGCTAGCGGCGGCGTGTGTCGTGTCCGGGACCTCTGAGGACCTCGCCGGTCCTCCAAGCCTACCTCACGGCGCGGCACGCCAGGGCGCGGCACGCCGGGCACCGCCAGGTGAGGAGGACGCGGAGTGGCAAAGGCAGGTAAGAGGAGAGGGAGCTGCGCACGGCACGGCGGGGCGCGGGGCTACCTGGCCGACCTGGCCGGCCCAACAGGCCCGGCGAGGGCCCGGCTGCCCCGCCGCCGCGCCCCGCGCCGCCCGCGCCCCCTCCCCTCTCTCCCTGTCTCGTTGTGCCGGGGCTGCCGGGGCCGGGGACGCGCCGCGCCGGGCTGGGCCTCGTCGGGCAGAGCAGAGCAAGCTGCAGGCAGACGGTGCTCCGCTCCCTCCGTCCTCTCCTCCGTGTAGTCTGTGTAGTGCAGCCTGTGGCGTGCCCCGGTGTGCCGCCAGGTGCTGCCCGATAACGCGTCGCGTTAGTCTCGTTCGCGTCGCGCTGCCGCCGTGCCGCGCCGTGACTGCGGCGGCGTCCTTATCGTGTCGTGTCAGTGGGGGTGTGCTTGTGGGTGTGGGTGTCAGTGCCAAGTGTCAAGCGAGTGTCGGCCGTGTCGGCCCGGAGGCTGCCTGGCCCGACGGGGACCCGACGGGGACCCGGGAAGGGGAAGCAGGTGCGGCTGCAGATCCCACGGGACCTTGTTGCTCGCTCCAGGCCGCTCCAGGCTATTCGCCGCTCTGGATACGCGCTGGATAACCCGATCGGCCTGACGCTGGCGGCGGTGGATCTCAAGATGTGAAGTGGCCGAGGTTGGTACCGCTGCGCTGTGCTGCGCTGTGCTGCGCTGTGCTGCGCCTACGCTGCGCCCGATGCACCGTGATGCACCGACGAGCCGAGCGGCCGGGCCAGCCAGTGTCCTTCCGTGAACGCCGAGTCAGTCCAGTCCTTCCTTTGTCTCGCCGAGCAAAAGTGAAGCTGGTCGGGCCGGCTGGTCGGGCCGGCTGGCCGGCGCGCTCGAAAAAGTGCCATCGGCTGCGCGGCTGCGCGATTCATGGGGAGGGAAGGAAGGGACGCACCTTTTGCAGTGCAGTGGCTCCCTTTCATTCCCACCTACACGCCGTCGTTCGGTTTCGTTCATTGTGCGTTTTTACTGGCCGCTCATCGACTTTGCTGAAGGAAACTCTATAGTACTACAGACACCCGCCGAAAAAAACGGCAACCGCAAATGCGGTCCCTGATTAATAATCGGAACGGGCCTAAAGCTCGCTGCCGGCATGCTGCCTTCGCCGTCGCGGTGTCTTCGGCCGCCTCCTCGCTCGCCTTGGGCAAAACGGCGAACAAAAAATTGTCGGACCTGTTTGACGTGTCTTCTCACGCTTGTTTCTGGGAGGGTATGACAGTTGCCACAATAGAATGTCCCGCTCCGGCCGCGGCGCCGTGGCGTGCCGTGGCGTGGCGTGCCGTGGCGTGCCGTGGCGTGCCGTGCCGTGGCGTGCCGTGGCGTGCCGTGCCGTGCGGCGGTGGCGCTCCCGTTCGCCATTGGAGGGGAAAATTCGGTATCAGTCGGGAGCCCGTCCCGTCGTGCCGTCGCGCCGTCCTGCCTCGCCAAGGAACGGCCAGACAAGCCAGACGCTTGTCAATTATTCCTCGGAATAACAAGAGCGTGGCCGGCTGCTTTCTACCTCGGCATCCTCGGTACCCTTGCTCGCTCGCCTTGCTCCTCGCGGCGTGGCCGGGGAAGCTAGGGGAGCCCTGCGCGGAGGCCGCGGAGGCGGAGGCACGCCCATGTGTGTCACGTGTCCCGCCGCGAGGAGGTGCTCTTGGGGCTCGGGGCCGCGGGGCCACCCTAGCCTCCCCCTCTCGGGAGGAGAGCCCCCTACAGAGAAAAGGAATAAAAACAATGAGCCGGGATGCTGGCGGGGCGGGGCGGAGGGGCGGCGCTGCGGGGCTTACAGCCGGGTCGGTACTCTACTCTGTGGGTCAGGCGGTGTCAGCAGCGCGACTGCAGCGTCAAGTGTCGCCCCCCCCCCCCCCCTTGCCGCAGGTCTGGACGGACGGACTGTCTCCAGCTGCTTTACATTTACCGTGCCGGCTAGCTGCACCGTTGTGGGCACCGTAGGCCGCCGTAGCCGCTCGCGGGCCCGCCGTGACGGGGGCGCTTTGGGGCGGTAGCACGGCAGCAGCGCCCCAGCCCAGTCCAGCCCAGTCCAGCCCCACCGGACCGGTTGCGTCGCGTCGCCCCGAGCTGGGCCCTGCGGGGCACTCGCAGCACTGTAGTGTACGGTACGACGGGGCCACCGGGTCGCGTCACACCGTAAGGGCCGGCCACCGTAAGGGCCATCTTGAGGGCCGCGCGTCGCGTCGTGGCGGCGGCTGCCAAGGCGGCTGCCTGGGTGACCGCACGGCGGCCCTGGAGCGATCTGTGGGTGCGGCGACCGGCCGGCGGCAGTGAAAGAGTGAAGGGTCGCCGTAGTCGGTCGACCGCGGTCTTGGATCTTGGATTGCGACTCCGCGTCGCGTCCCGCCGCGCTGGCATTTAAGAGACGCCGCGGTGCCGCCAGAGCACCGCGATGGTCATCTGGCGGAGATGAATGCGCCCGCCCCAAACTTGCGCAACCGGCGCCGCGACCCGGTCGGTCGCCTCGCCGCTCGCGTGCGAAAAGGCAGGACCCGAGTCCCGCCGGAAACGTTATCACTGACGGCGCCAAGAAATTAGCGGTGAGGTCGCGGCGGAGAGGGAGAGGGGGGAATGAGAAATGAAGTGCCAAGCCCGGCGTTGCTGGAGAATCGTTATGGGACTGCTGACTTCGATTCTGGAGCGTTGCTGGAGCATTGCTGGAGCCTTGCTGGAGCCTTGCTGGAGCGTTGCTGGAGCGTTGCTGGAGCGTTGCTGGAGCGTTGCTGGAGCCACAGCGATGCCAGGCGATTGCGACGCGGCCCCGCGGCACGCCCACTGCCAATAGTGCGTCGAACCCGTCCGTCCCGTCCCGCCGGGCCGTCCATTGCGAGAGTGCGTGTTGTGCGGTGCGCTTGCTCGGTGCGTTGGCCCTGTTGTCGTTCGCCGCGGTCTCGGTTGTCTCGGCGCGGCTATGCGCATGGCTGCGCCGCGCTGCGCCGCGAGCAGACAGACAGGCGGGCAGACATCTCCTCCCACATGCTGGGTGCGTGTGGTGTGTGGACTCGTAATTTTACGACGCTGTGTGTGTGGCGTTTGTGTTTACCCCCGCTGTAAAGCTCTTCCAAGGCCCAGGCCCGGCCAAGCCTAGCCCAGCCTGGCCTGGCCTTCAGTACTCACTCATCCCGACTCAGCCCGTTCGCCCGAGTTATGTCATGTCACGGGGGCACGGGACGCGGGTGGCTTGGCCAGTGTGAGGTATGAGTGCGCCGTAACACGGTGGTGTCGGTGTCCTGCCCGCGCGCCGCGCAGTGGAACGTGTGTTATGGGACTTCCCTGCTGCCGTACAGCGCAGCGTGCGACCCGCCCTGCCGGCCGTCCGTCCGTCCGTCTGGACCAGTACCTCTTACAGTGTGGTCGCCTCCTTGGTCGGGTACGCGTTGCCGCGTTGCGCGTGTTTGTCGTAGTTGTTGCCGCTCCCCTCCTCCCCGTCCTCCCCGTCGCCGCGGTCTTGGTCGTGTTTACGAACGCTTTGCGGTCCTGTCGGTGGTTGGGCCGAGCGGGGCCGAGCGGAGCGGTACCGAGGCCTGCTCCAGGCCCCGCAGTGCTCCGCAGCCTCAGGCCACTCAGGCCCGGTAGAGAGGTCGCGCGGTGACGGTGACATAACCCCTTCGAGTGGCGTGGATGCCGGCAGGATGCGCGCGTCGCGAAAGCGTCGCAAGTCGCAGGGCGGCGCCGGCGAAGGCAGCGGACTCACAGTGGGCTAGAAGACCGGTGGGGGCGGGCAAAACTCTAGACGCGTTCTGAGCTCCAGAGTCGCTAAACAGGACTCGAACCGAACGTGTGACCCCACCAATGGATTGCTCTCCGAACGAGGAATCCATTGGTGGGGTCACACGTCCAGTTCGAGTCCCATTTAGCGACTCTGGAGCTCAAAACACATCAAGAGTTTTGGCCGCCTCCGCCGGTCTTCTGGCTCACTGTGGGACTGAGTCCGAGAGCCGTTTTCGTCGCTCTGTCTCTCTCGCACTCGTGGGGCGTCCCGGATCGGTGGGAGAGAGACAGAGCGACGAAGCCGACTCTCGGCGTGAGGCGAAGGCAGGACAAGACAGGTGCGGCGATGCCCTGCCTTTGCCGCCAGCGGCCGCCAGCCCCGCGCGATGGCGACACGGCACGCCATATGTAGCCAACGCGGCCTGCTGCAGCATGCTGCGAGCTGCAGTAAGTCGGTCTCGAACTGTGCTCCGGTCGCGCTGTCTCTCTCGCACCGCGATGGAACGCCCCGCGAGTGCGAGAGAGACAGACAGACCGCACCGTTCCGAATCAGCCTGCAGGTGCTCGGTGCTCTCCTCCGTGTCCGGTGGCCCTCGGCCCGCGGCGGTACGCGGCGCCTCTCCGTGTGTTGTGTTCTCGCTCGCTCCCGCGGGACGCCGGCCTGCTCGTCGCCCTCTCTCCCACACGCTTGGTTGTGACAGCGCCTCGGTGTGGATAGCGCCGGGGAAAAAGCGAGCAAGGCGGCGATGATGAGCCGGGGCACCATGATGGGGCTGGGCACCTCGGCCGGGGGACACCGGCAAAAAAGGGCCACGAGTTGGACTCGAACTCGCGGCCCTCGCGGCACGGCCGACAGCGCCTGGCCCTCGGCCTGGCCGCGGCGGGCGGTTCTCGGAACGCCCCGTGCTTGCCGCCCTGCCGCACGCGGCTGTGGTGCTCTGCAGTGCTGCAGTGTGCGGGATCACGCATGGCGGGGCGCACGGCGGCACGGCGGCGCGGTACGCGGTAAATGGCCCGACGCGACGCCGCGACGCTGGGAAGAAAGGAAAGGGGAAAAGCGTGGCGCGCACTTACAGTGTCGAGGCTGTCGGGGCAAAGAAAAGAATGGTCCGGTCGATACGCCTCGCGCCAGGGACTCGCGCGATGCTGGCTGACTTGGACCGACTGGGTGTCACTTTGTGCGTGGGGTATTGGCAGAGCGGCGGGCTCATTTCTTTCTCATTTCCATTCCCCTGCCGTTTCCGCTGACGGGGCGCGGTGCGTGGGGCGCGCGACGTCGACGAGGAGGTCGAGGACTCTGTCGCTGCGTGGCTGCTGTGGCTACTATGTAGCACTACTGGCGCACAGTGGGCCAGAAGACCGGTGGAGGCGGCCAAAACTCTAGACGCGTTTTGAGCTCCAGAGTCGCTAAACAGGACTAGGACCGAACATGTGACCCCACCAATAGATTCCTCGCCCGAAGAGCCATTGGTGGGGTCACACGTTCGGTTCGAGTCCCATTTAGCGACTCAAGAGCTCTAAACGCGTCCGGGACTTTGACCTGACCGCCTCCACCGGTCTTCTGGCCCACTGTGTGGCGTTGCCCGTTGATTGGAAACCGCGCGGGCAGCCGCAGCGTTTCTCCGCCGATTGTGATCGCGGGGCGTGGCCGCGAGGGCCGCGAGCGTGGCGTGCCGCGTACCGCGGACCGCGTGTGGATGAGTATGAGTTCCGCGCGGGCTTCTGACCGGACCGGGCGGAGCCGCGCGGGGCGGGGCGGGGCGGGGCGGGGCGGGGCGGGGCGGGGCGGGGCGGGGCGGGGCGGTCTTCCTGCCTGTCGACCTGTCTGCCTCCACCGCTCTGCCGGGGACTTCGAACTTCCCGCCCGCGAGCGCGAGGCGGGCAGAGCTTTGTGAAAAAGGCTGCGCTGCTTCCGCCCCTTCGATCGCGCGACACCGCTCGTGCTCTCTGCCATGCTCTGCGGTGCTCGCGCAGCGTGCGTGCGCGCGCGCGTGTGTGTGTGTGCGTGTGTGCGTGCGCGAGGCGGAATCACGCTCCGCGAGAGTGAAAACGGAGCGGTCATGTTGATCGGCTCGGCACGGCGGTGCGGTGCGGTGCAGCACGACGTATGGACACAAGGCCCGGGCCCGCTGCCCGCTTTGGCGAGGCGGCTTTGCTCGTGGGCCAGCCTTCCAGTGTACCAGCCTTCCAGCCTTCCAGGCCGTTTGCGGTCGGGTCGGCCCCTTCGGGCCGCCTAGCCGCACTGTCCGTACTGTCCGTCTCCGATCGGCAGGATTGCGATGCGAGCTGCGAGTGGATCGCGCAGCTTTCGCCGAAGCGGGCACGGCGTGCCGGGGCCGCGGGGCCGCGGGGCTGCGACGGTGGGCTCGGACAATGCGCCCGCCGCGGCCATGGAGCCCCCCGCGAAGGGGGAGGGGAAGGGGGCTGCGTGTCAGCGGACGTTCTGCCGCCCACGCCCCGCCGACGCCACGCCACGCATTCTCATCCTGACGGTGGCGCGCCGCCGGGGTACAGGTGTATACGGTGTAAGGTCGCAATCGATAGCGTGTCCAGGAAGACGCCGCGCCGTGGCTCCGCACCACCAGACACCCTATTCTCGCTCCTAGAGGGCCTCCTCCTCCTCCTCCTCGTGCTCCTCGTCGCACTCGTTCTTTTTTCTGCCCGGGGGCTCATTACGCCCCGGGGCGGGGCCCGCTGCCTGCCTGCTCGGTCTGCCCGGCCGAGCGCCCCTCTTGTCCGCGCTCCCCGTCGTCCTGCTTGAGTGCGCCGCCAAGTTGGGGCGTTGGCGCGCGCTCGGCAGGGCAGGCCTAGAGGCGTTGGCGACCTGTAGCCGTCCGTGTACTACACCGTGCGCTACACGGTGCGCTACACCGGCCGCTACACTGGCCGCTGGGCGCCCTTTGGGCCCTTTCCCTCGGCGCCTGGGAAGATGGGCGCCGTCTCGTCTCGTCTCGCGGACTCTGTTCGTACTTTGGATTGCCTCTTGCTTGCGCCAGGCCGTGCCAGGCTATGCGCCGGCGGCCCCGCCCCGCCCCGCCCCGCCCTTCCTTCCCTTCCAATCTTGCGGTGGCCGCAGCCACGCCGTTCTACGCCCCGCCGGGCCGGCGGCCGGGCTATCCGAGCCTTGGCCAAGCCTCGGCCAAGCCTTGGCCAACAACACAAGCCGCAGCCTAGCGGTGCGGCGGGACGGCGACGGCGCGGCCTCTCTGGCGCCTCGGCGGGCCACCGCTCGCGACGTCGCGTCACGCCAGGCCGCTCCAGGCCGCGCCGGGCATGAAGGAAGAGGGAAGGCTCGGCGAGGACAATGTGCGATTTGCACAGTGCCGCGCCGCCGCGCCGCCGGGCGCGCACGCTGCGGACTAGGCTGGCTGGACTCCGGCAGGATTCGCCCTCGGTCCACCCCACCCTACGACCCTCGCCTCGCCAGGCCCCGCCCTCCCCGTCGACGGCGTGCTTATCCGCACGGATTAACGGGCGGGTTGTCTGCTTGCAGAACACGTACACCAACGCGGAGAAGCTGCTGACGGCGGCCGAGGAGCTGGCCCGGACGGGCGAGTGCAACGCCGGCGAGATCTACGCCGTGGCCCGCGAGCTGGAGAGCCACGTGACGTCGTTCGCGGCCCGCGTCGACCAGCGGCGCCGCCGACTTGACCTGGCCGCCAAGTTCTACTCGCACCGCGACGAGGTAAGTTGCAACTCATTTCGTGGGTCGTTTTCGTCGCTCGGCCTCTCTCACCCTCATGCGGCGTCCCGCCCAGGCGCGAGAGAGACAGGGCGACGAAAGCGACCCTCGGAATGAGGCTGCCGCGCCGCGGGGCCGCGGCCGCGAGGAGGAGGGCGGTGCATTCCGCTGCCGGGTGGCCAGCCTGGCCACCGAGCGATTCAGGCGGATTCAGAGCAGTCGTTTCATCGCTCTGTCTCTGTCGCACTCACGGGGCTCTCTGCAAGGGTGCGAGAGAGACGCTCCTCTGAATCGCTCGGCTCGGCCTCGGCAGATTGGTTCGGCATTAATGCTTGTTCTCTGCGTTCTAGCTGGCCAGCTGGGTCGAGGAGCTTCGGCAGGAGGTGCAGAATGAGGAGGCCGTCGACTGCGTGGAAGGAGCGCAGCGTGCACTGGAAGAGTGCCAACGCCAGCGTGACCATTCGCTGCACGAATGCAACGCGGCTATCGCGCACGGACAGGCTCTGCTGCAGGAACTGAGGTCAGGATTGTTGCAGGATGTAGTGGAACCTTCGTGTTTTGCTGTTCTGCTGTTTTGCTGTTCTGCTTTCTCTAATATTGTAATTTTCTCTTGCCCGATGTAGGAGTGTTGGTTTGCACAATGCTGTCATGGACACCACTGGATCGGTAGGGGCGGTGGAAACCTCCCTGGAACGATTGAATAAGCAGCGGGAAGAACTGGATCAGCTGTGGTCCACACGCAAGCTCAAACTGGACCTCTGCCTGAGGCTACGCATTTTCGAAAGAGATGCGTTAGAAGTCTCCTCGCAGCTGGAAATATGGGCCGAAGAGCTGCAGCACATGGAGCTGAGCCATGAGATGGCTGCAGCGGAACAGCACCTGCAGCTGCACAACGACAGTGTGACTCACATGCACAACACCGTTTTCCAGGTGATGCAACAAGGTCAAGAACTAGGCCAGTCTTTGGAATCATCTGGATTGACGTTGATGGCAGATAGTCAGTACAGTGCTGCCACTAGGGTGCAAGTTCTCCTTGAGTTTCTTCATGAGCGTGAGATTGATGTGGACGAACTTGCCGAACTGAAGCGGGTCAAACTAGAACAGTGTGTTCAGCTGTGTCAGTTTAACAACGATTCAAACCAAGTGATAAGTTGGATACGAAATGGGGAGTCCATGCTGATGGCTAGCTTCAGCATCCCCACATGTCTGCAAGACGCAGAACAGCTGAAGAAAGAGCACGAACAGTTTCAAGTTGCCATTGAGAAGACTCATACCTCAGCTATTCAGGTGAAACAGAGAGCCGAGTCATTAGTCAATAATAACCATTATGAGCCACAAAGCATAAGAGACATGGCTGAGGAAGTGACACAGCGTTGGCAGCAGCTAGTGACCTGTGCCGAAGAGCGCCACAAACTTGTCACAGCTTCTTTAAATTTCTACAAAACTGCAGAGCAGGTATGCATTTTTATTACTTCTCCCCCCCCCAAATTTTCAAAGTCATTGACAAAGTGAAATTTTGTTCATGAAATCATTTTTCTGTCTTTGAATCAGGTATGCTCTGTCTTGGACAGTCTGGAGCGAGAATACAGACGTGATGAGGACTGGTGCGGTATGGACAAGCTCATGGCTGAGCATGGCACGAGTGGAGGTCCAGGCTTCACTCTGCCCCCAGCAGTAGCAGACAGGATATCCCAGCTCATCACCAAGCACCAAGAGCAGAAAGAAGCATTCCTGAAAGCCTGTACTTTGGCCAGGCGCACTGCAGAAACGTTCCTAAAGTACTCTCAGCGTTCATTGCAACTGTACAGTTTCCAGGGGGAGTCCACCCAACGTTCTGCTCATGCTAGAGTTAAAAGTATGTGGTTATTTCTGTTCCCATCTGAATATGTTTTCGTTTTCATATCATTTTTTTTTCTGAGTGTACCTGTTGACAGTGAACTTACCTAACATTTCATTTTGTTTACAGCCATTCTTGACAAGCTCTTAAATCAAGAGAACAAAGTTTTAGATAATTGGACTCATCGAAAGAAACGGTTAGATCAGTGTCAGCAGTATGTTTTATTTGAGCGCTCTGCTCAGCAGGCACTAGACTGGATACAAGACACTGGTGAGTTATATCTGTCTACTCACACATCAGTGGGACACACAAGACAAGAGACTGAAAAATTGCTCAGTGAACATAATGAGTTCAAAGGCACTGCCAAGGTTAGTATTTTTAAACACGTAATTTTGATGATTGTACAGTAATGTGGTTTAATTAACAAATTACACATAAATTAACTGTTTCATCCTATTTTTACAGGAAACAAGAGATCGAGTAAAACTTCTCATCCAACTTGCAGACAGCTTAGTTGAAAAAAGTCATGCTCATGCAGGATCCATTAAACAATGGGTAGCTGCTGTTGACAAAACGTATAAAGACTTCAGTGTTCGAATGGACAAATACCGCTCACAGCTTGAAAGTTCCTTAGGAATTCAAGATACCAAACATGATCTCTCTATTGACCGGAATTCAGATCCACTTCTTGAAGCTAAAGTGAAAGAAGCAGCTGCAGCAAAGGATCTGAAAGGCCTGAATGAAGAGAAGAGACGATCTGCTAGGAGAAAAGAGTTCATTATGGCTGAGTTATTGCAAACAGAACGTACTTATGTAAAAGACTTGGAAATTTGTGCTAGAATATTCTTAGATGAAATGCGCAATAGTGCCGCAGTCCCTCCATCAATACGGGGACGTGAAGATGTAATTTTTGGTAACATAGAAGAAATATTAGCTTTTCATAGAGACATTTTTCTTCGTGAATTAGAAAAGTATGAAACAATGCCTGAAGATGTTGGGCATTGTTTTGTAACCTGGGCTTCCAAATTTGATATGTATGTAAAATATTGTAAAAATAAGCCAGAATCAAATAGCCTTCTTGTCCAACATGGTGGGGCCTTTTTTGAGGACCTACAGAAACGTCATAGAGTAGAACACCCAATATCAGCATATTTAATTAAGCCAGTTCAACGAATTACCAAGTACCAACTCCTCCTGAAAGATCTTCAATCCTGTTGCCAAGAAGGACAAGGAGAAATTAAGGCAAGATACAATTTTCAGACTCTTTTGTTTTTAATACTAATTATGTATGAAAAGGGATGTTATTCATTTTCATTTCGAGTAAGTTTTTAATTTTTTTCTCTTGCTTGTGCCCTGTTTTCAGGATGGATTAGAGGTGATGCTCAATGTACCAAAGAAAGCAAACGATGCTATGCATCTTTCCCTGTTAGAAGGCTGTGATAAAAATCTAGACAGTTTAGGAGAAGTTATCCTGCAAGACACCTTCCAGGTGTGGGATCCAAAACAAATTATTCGCAAGGGCAGAGAACGTCATATTTTCCTTTTTGAATTATACCTGCTGTTCAGCAAAGAAGTTAAGGATTCTAATGGAAAGGCCAAATATATTTACAAAAACAAATTGATGGTGAGTAATGATCGTTGCCTCTTTGAAATGTTGCGTCTTACTGAATTGAAAAAAACTCGTATTTACTTTCAAAATATTTATTTTTCCAGACCTCAGAACTGGGTGTGACAGAACACATCGAAGGTGATGAGTGCAAACTTGCCGTGTGGACTGGCCGAGCCCCAATTTCAGACTACCGCATTGTTCTTAAGGCATCTAATTTAGAGACAAAACAAATGTGGGTTAAAAAGCTGCGAGAAGTGATTCAGGAAACTTACTTCAGCTCTGCGCTGCCTCTCAGTCTGCCCAAGAGCCCAGCCAAGACGAAACCCCCTAGCTATCGTTCAAGCAGGTGTGTTTGTGTCTTAGTGGAGATCGCATCGGACGTTGTTGGTGTCTCGTTTGAAACTCTACTGACTTTGTCTGTCTCTTCCTGTTCCAGGGATATGGAAGATTCGACATCTCTCGACGAGAGTGTTGAGAACCTGGACCGCAACTCGCTGGCCTCCTTCGGCTCGGGCAACACGACGGACTCGGACAAGGTAAGCCTCAACCGTGTGCATGTGCAGGCAGTCGTGTGGCGCGCACGGCGGATTTCAGTCAGCACCTCGACGTTTCAGCCCGCTCAGCAGACAGCGTTCCAATGGTTCCAAAGCACCTCCCCTACCCCCATGTGCGACAACGTGCACAAAGCGCCGCTTTAATACCAACCCCCAACCCCCAACCCCTCGCCCCAGAGGCCCTTTGGAGGCGCCTAGTGCCTAGGGGAGGCAAGGGCCAGTCGCCTCGCCCTCGCCCGTTGGCCGTTGGGGTGGCGTGCTCAACAAGTAGCGCTACTAGCGCGGAGGCTCTCGGCCACCCTCGGCCCTTAGGGCTTGCCCTTAGGGCTTGTCGCCATCCACTCTCATCTCTCCTCCACTTAGTCCTCCCGGCCCCGCCCGGCCGGTTGTCCGGGCCTGCTTGGCCTCTCGTGAGTGCTTTGCGCCCCGCCCCGCCCCGCCCCGCCCCGCCGCGGCGCCGCTATGCGTGGCGTGCCGCGAGCGCGGGGAAGGGGAAAGAGAAGGGAGTAGGGGGCTGTTGACTTTTCCTGTGTGTCGTCCTCGCCTGCCGCCTGCCCGTTCACCGTCCAGGGCCTTACCGTGCAGGGGCGGCCAGGGGCAAAGCCGAGGGCCGGGGCCGGGGGGTCGCCCCTGGCCAGGTCCTCAAGCACGGCAGCCGCGCCGTAAACACTGTGTGCTCCACGGACGACGTCGCCTTGGCCCGTGGCGTGCCGTGCAAGCCGCGCTCGCCGCGTTGGCCGCGTTGGCCGCGGCCGTTAACGCCGTCGTGTCATGCCACTCGACACGAGGCCCGCCCTGCCCCTGCCCTGCCCGTGCCCCCCGTCAACCTGTTGATGTGTCTCTTCGCCGAGGTCTGTCCCGCTGTCTCGCTGTCTGTGACGTTGCATGCTCATATCATCGGCGGCGCGTCGTCCTGGCTGGCCGCCCCTCGACCCTGCCGGGCCCTGAGAGCGTTGCCGATTGCCAAAAGCCTCGGCCAAGGCAGCCAAGGGGGGCCGACCCGCCCGTCCTGGCCTCGGGCCACCAGTTGTGCGTCGAGGCAAGGTCGGCTCGCGGGCTTGGGCTCGGACCGAGAGCAAGGACGGAACGGTGGTTTCGAAAAAGAAAAAGGCACCCCTTGTTTGGGCTGAAACGCAAAGCGCAACGCACCCTCTCGAGACTTCACTCGGCGGCGGCGGGTTCGGGGCGGGGCGGGCTCGTAAAAATACACCGCCCCGAAGCGCAGCGCACTGTATGTCTGCATGTTTGTGGAACGCCATTGTGTATGGGCTCCTAGCCGGGGCTCTAGCTGTAGCCAGGCCCGGGCGGCCCGGGGCGGCGGCGCGGTGGCGCGATCGAACCGCCTCGGGTCGGCGTTGTCTGTCCTTGCCGTGGCCGCGCGCCGCGCCACGCCGGACTGCTGACTTAAGAAGCTTTTCGTAGGGCACCGCCTTCGCCTTCACCTTGCCTGGCCTCGCCGGCCCCGAGTCGTCCGGTATCGCCCCGCACCGAAACATTGCCCCTGGGCCGACATCGATTTCGCATACCGCCCTTAAAGTGATCCGCTTCCGTCGACCGTCGCGCCCCCCTGGGCCATGCCTGGGCCATGCCTGGGCCATGGCTGTGCCATGGCCTGGGCCGGGGAGGGGGCAACCGGCAGGGGATGCGGGCAGACCGGGTTGGTGGACGCGACCCACGGTTCTGGTGACAACCGTGCCAGCAGCGCCGACAGCGCCGTGCTGGAGTCTGCGGACGCTGGCGAAGTGCCTGCAGGGGCAGGGCCTGGAGCCGCCTGGAGCAGTCCGGCCGGCGGAGGAAGGTGGAGGAAGGTGGAGGGGGCGCGGCCGGTCCGGGGCAGAGCCGGGGATGTCCGCTCGATGGTGACTAAGGGCCCAATGCGCAATCTGCTCAGGTGTAGTATCGGCGCCACCCGTCCGTCCTCTCCGCCTTGACTGATTCTGTTTCCCTCGCACTAATGGTCCTTTTGGGTGCGAGGTAGATACACAAGCGCTGGTCGGACTGAGCTCTGCAGGTGCGGGGGCTGCGGGCCGGGTCGACTCTCCCTCTTCCGATGACTGCGGATAAAGCGAGCCGCCAATCTGGCAATCTGGCGCCGTCCGCCTGGGGCGCCCTGTCTTACTTCCGCACCGCGGACGCGCGGGCGGACCAGAGCGACCAGAGCGGGGTAGGGGTGGGGGGTATCGGGCGGATAGGGATGGAATTAATACCCCGCAAGCAGCCGTGTGATAAGGAGGGCGGGGTGGGGGTGGGTGGGGTGTTCCGGCGGGGTCCTGGCCGTCCTGGCGTGGGGGTGGAGCTCGGCTTGGATCGGGACGCCCCCCGGCCGCCCTCCGGACCCCGCCCGGCCCCCGCCCCCTCCCTCTGCTCTGGCAGTACGCGCACAGCGCCGCGTTGGTTGTGCCTCGCCGCGCTGTGCCGTGCCCAGGCCCAGGCTGTGCCGCTGTGCCGCGCCGCTTCTGGCCGCGCCGCGCCGCGCCGCGCACAGTACGGCCGCCAGCGCCGCCTCGCCGCCTCGCCGCTAGTCGCCCCGCCAGTCAGTCGACGGCGCGACCTCTGTGTGGGACGACACGCGGCCCGACCCCACACGCGTGCCCGGGCGAACGAACCGCGGAACGAACTACCCCTGAGTAAGGCGGCGGTGGAACCGCCAGCCCGGTCCCCCGGCCGCCGCCGCGGAGACCGGCCGTGCCCGCGTGCCAGCTACTTGCGCCTGTGTGTGTGTGTGTGTGTGTGGGTGTGTGGGTGCTTGAGCGCGTGAGGATTAGTGCGTGTGTGTCTTTGTCTATGTGAGCGCGCGTGTCTATGTGCTTGCTGGGTGCAGGGTCACTGCACCCGCTGCCTGTCGGGTTCGCTTCGCGCGGTCCCGCCCCGGTCCACCGCGCCCCGGTCTACCCCACCGCTGGCCCTCTGGCCCTGGCCGCTAATCGCGGGCTTGCTTCCCCCGAGCCCCACCTGGCCGTCGTGGACGCTGGCACGCTGGCGGGTCGGCGCAGCGCGCTCGTCTTGACGCCCAGTGTCGTCCGATGTCGACCCGCGTTGGTGACCCGTGCGCCCCACGCCCCCGACACGCCCCGTCGCGTCACGGCGGGGGCACATGCGCGGCCCGTGACCTGTTAGCAGCGCCAACCGCCCCCGGGCCTGCCGCCCCCCGGCCGCCCCCGCCGGCCCCCGCCGGCCCCCGCGCGCGAGAGCCCAGCCCACCGCGGCGCGTGACCTGCGACCTTCTGCATCGCCAGCGGGCTGTACATGGCGTGCCTCGGCGTGCAAGTCCCTTTGGCTGCCCGCGACACGGCGAGGCACGGCAGCGCGGCCCGCGCGGCGTTTAATGTCGCCACCCACTGCTAGTTTGTGCGAGTTTGTGTGCACAAGCGGCCCGGTCCGGTCAGCCCGGTCGGCCCGGCGCCCCCGCAACCATCCCGTAAGAAGCGCTGCCGGGGGCGCCGCCATCCCGGTCCTTTCCTCTCGCGGCTCCCGCCCCGCCGCCGCCCCGCCCCGCCGCGCCCCGCCGCGCCCCCGCGCGCAGCCCATGTTGTGATTAGATCGATCGGTGCGCGGATCGCGGATTTATGTACCGGTGGCATGCGGATGCGGTGCCGAACGCGAACCTGACGGGCCCCAGAGTGCGTGTCTAAGTGTGTGTGTGTGTGTGAGAGAGAGAGAAAGTGAGAGCGAGTTGCAGGGTGTGTGTGTGCGTGTGTGTGTGTGTGTGTGTGTGCGTGCGTTTGTGCGTGTGTGTGCGTGTGTGTGCCCAGGGGTCAGCGGGTAAACATGCAGGGAGTGTGCGACGCGGCGCGGCACCGCAATCTGCCCCCCACTGAAAAAAATTTTCAATAGAATTTACTGTCATGATAATAAATTTTACTGAACGGCTCAGTGAATTTTCGACGTGAAGACCTGCCAATAGATTCTACTGAACAGGCCGCTCAGTGCATCCTACTGGTCCGTTCAGTAAATCGCATCGACCCGTTCAGTGGACGCTACTGGCGCGTTCAGTAGATCGCACTGCTCCGGTGTAGTACAATGTACTGGTCTGTTCAGTAGATTGCATTGCCCAGCAAAAGTATTTTGCCCCCAACGCCTCGTCTATCGCAACCCCCACCCCCCGCTCATTGCACCGTCTCCGCCGTACCCCTCTGCCTCTCACTTCAGTCGTATGACTTGCCACACTGTGATGGCAGCGACCCGGAGTTGAACCCGGGCCACCCGATCACAGCGCAACCGCCGTACCACTCGGCCATGCCTGCGCGTTGAGGAGCCCGCCTCCAGAGACGGTACACGTGCACATCTGCGTCTGAGCGGCCCCGGCCAGTGCGCCTCCAGAGAAGCAGGGGTGGGGGAAGCGTGCGGGTGGAGCCAGGGCCCCATCGGGGGTGAGGAGGCAAGTGGTGGGGAGCGCGACGGAACAGCGCTTTGTAGCGTCCACTGGACTGCAATAGCATTTACTGAACGGCGCTTACTGAGCCGCTCAGTAAAATATATCAAACCTCGTTTCGTAGCAGTCACTGCGCGAGCAGTACATTCTATTGAAATGAGCCTTACTGAACGCGTTCAGTAAAATACATTGAGCCACTTTTTTCAGTGCGCCTGAGCGCGTCACGGGGAGCCCCGAGCCACTAGAAAACGGCCAAACGGTCGGCGTGGTCGCTCTCAGCGTCTCGCAGCTGCAAAGAAAGGCACCCGTGACTCTCCTAGCGGAGTTTGCAGTCCGTGGCACACTGACTCCCTGGCAGTCAAGGGGTAACCAACTCGAGATTTTCATGTTCATTGATTGCTGAATTAATAAAATTATAGCTCTGTATTGATTACATTTATATACTTTTCATTATTATGAATATCACTGATTATGGAAGCATAGAAAGGATTATCATTGAAGATTATTAGCTATTATTTGGGCGCCGGCCTCGTAAAGCGGTTCAAACGCCGAAACATCGAATACATTGTTGACTTTAGGCTGCCACTGCGTTCAAACTAGCTGTGTCTAAAGGCCTCACGTCCTAGCATACTCTTTCGAGCATGCTCTTTCGTGCTCTCGGCAATGCCTTAACCACAAATGAGTTTCGAAGCAGCAGCCTCGAAAAGTTGGTCAAAAAGTGATTGAATTTTCGAAAGTTATTTCACTGCTACCAACTAGACCGAACTAGACGTACCCCTATTATCTTGAGTTGGTTACCCCTCGCTGGCAGTCGCCTCGCGTCGCTCCCAGTGCTTGCAGTGGACGGCGAGTGGCACTGTAACAGGGGCTCTAGCCGAGCCGTGCGCCGTGCCCCGCGCGTGTTGCCGTCCCGTTGAGCCCCAGCGCGACAGTGCGGCCGACGGGGCGTGCAGTGCACGACCGGCCCGCACGCTCGCCGGAACGCGCTCGCACGCACGCACGCTCACACACGCGGCCACAGGCTGAAACACGCACGCAGACACACACACACACACACACACACACACACACACACACACGGGCGCAGTGTGGGCTGTGGGCGCGGATCGATGTCCGCCAAGGCCGTGCTCGCCGTGCTGCTCCACGCCGTGGGCGTTGCGTTGCGCGGCGTGGAGCGGCGCGGCGGCGCGGCGTTCGCACGGCCGTCCGTGGCGCGATCTTGAACGGCGTGCGTTAGCAGGTGCTGGGCCGGTGGCCAGCCGGTGGGCAGGGCCCCCGCGCGCCCCGCCCCCGCGCGCCCCGCCCCCGCGTGCCCCACCCCTCGCGGCATCGCGGTGCATCGCGGCCCCCGTGCTGAGGCTGGCCAGGCGCGCCCAGCGTGCACGTGCAGCCCCGCGGGGAGGCGATGGCCGCGTCCGGGGCCGAGGCCGGCTAGGGTACCGGCTAGGCCAGGGCCTTGGCCAGGGCCACCCAGCCCATGGCGGCCGCCGCGCCCAGTGGCTCGGGCCCTCCGGGGCCGGGCGCCAAGACGCAGGGCTCCAAGTCGCGGCGGAAGATCTCGCTGCCATGGTTTCGGCAGAACTCGCTGACGCCCGGGAGGGCCCACCTCACGCGGCAGCACACCATCGACACCCCCAGCGCCTTCCATCGCCTCAACCGCCACTCGTCGCACAGCCAGGTACAGCGACGGCAAAGGCCGTCTTGTAGTGGTCTTCCCCCCTCGCCCCTGTAATTGTGTTCCTTCGTCGCCATTCATCTCGCCGCGGAAGGGTCCGGGGACGTCGGAGACGTTGGAGACAAATGAAGCACCACGCCCCCCACACCGCGCCGCCGACGCTATCGCCGTGCCACCGCGCCCCGCCGCGCCCCGCCACGCCCCGCCACGCCCCGCCACGCCCCGCCACGCCCCGCCGGTAACGTCGCGGTACGGGCCGCGCGACACGCTTTCCGGCGGCGTCGCCTTGACGGCGGCAGTCCCGGCGAGGCGACGCGAGGCGGCAGTGTAGTTGTGCCGGTGATGGGTCTCGACGTGCCGCCGCCGCCTCGCCGCCGGGCCTGCCGCTGGAGGCGCAGCTTGTGCGTGGACTTGGTGCGCCGCCGCCCCCGCGCGCCCCGACAGGGGGTAAGTGGCAGTGCGGTCCGCGCGAGGGGGTCATCACTCGCTCTTTTCGTGTACAGAGAATACTTCGAGTGAATACCCCCTCGGGTCCGCGCGTCCGGCGTCCGCGGCCGCACAGGGACACAGGGACGCGGAGGCGGCCAGCCGTCCGGCCCCGCCGCCGGTTCGGACTCGACCCTGCTGCTCGCTCGATGCCCATGGCTTTGACCTCGATTCGATTCGAGGCGGAATCGGAACAAGCAATTTGGCCATGCATGCCCAACGCGGCGTGGCGGAACGCCCGGGCAAACACGCGGCAGCAGCGGTGAAGGGCCTGTACCTCGGCGAGGCCGAGCAGGGCGAGAAGCATGTGGCTTTGCTGCAGCTCCCCCCCCCCCCGCACCGAGTTGCCTGGATCCGCCCCCTCCCTCCGCCTTTCCCTGCCGAGCGCCCCAATTGGATTCGTCAGCTGCATTGCAATGACATTGTTCTTTCTGCCCCCCGCCGCCCCCCGCCCCGCTCCGTTTCCGTCGACCTCATCTCCTGCCCGGCCCTTTCGCCGCCATGTGTTGTTTTCGCTCGATGGCCGCTGCTGCCGCTGCGCTGGCACTTCTGGAAGGGTAGGGGCGCGCGGGGTGCGGGGGCGGCGCGGTTCGGCCATGAGTCGTCTCGCTGGGAATGGAATTGGTGTTATCTGGAGTGGCGGTTCGGCGAGCGCGGGTACCTTAGTCCGCGAGTCAGAGTCGCTTTTTTTGCTGCTCCCTCAGCATGTGTTTTGCGGTGGCCGGTTCGGTTGGCCGCTATCGGCTCGCCGGCATGGCCACGGCCCTGGCCGCCCCGGCCCTGCGGCAGGGAAGGGGAAGGGGGAGGGAGGCGGCCTGACTCATGGGACGTGGCCTCGTCATGACTGCATGACTGCATGTCTGCATTAATAGGCCAGCCTGGTGTCGGTCGGTGGTCCCTGGACACGAATGCAAGCGGCCCTCTTTGCACGAGTCTGCCGGCCAGCGATAACGTGACAAAGCCGGCCTAGGCAGCCCGGCCAGCCCGGCCAGAATGTGTCACTCCAAAGCGCGCGGCCTGGATGGCCTGGATGAGCTGGTCGGCGACGCGCCCCGCCCCGCCCCGCCCCGCCCCGCCCCGCCCCGCTTAGCCGTTTATCTGTTGTGGGGTGGAGCAGCGCCTCGCCACGCGCCAAGGGACCGAAGGACCTCAGCCCCCTCCCCCTTTTTGCTTTCCGCTCTTTTCGCGCTGGACTGGGGAAATGGGGCTGCATTATGGAGTCGGCAGGGTTGGGGCTGCGGGGGCACCGCGCGGCATTTCGTATCGGCTGGCTGTGCTGGCTGTGCAGGCTGTGCCAACCACCGGAGATGGACGATGATGGATGAAGCTGCGCGCCGAGGCCGAGGCGGGCCGAGGCGCCAAGGACTCCGGGCGGCGCCCCTTTACGCTATTCCAGTCATGGAGTGGCCGCCTGCAGGCTGCTTCCGAACAGTGCTTTCGGCGCTCTGTCTCTCTCGCACCGATGGAGCGTCCCGCAAGGGTACAAGAGAGAGAGAGAGAGAGAGAGAGAGAGAGAGAGAGAGAGAGAGAGAGAGAGAGAGAGAGAGAGAGAGAGAGCAGTGAAATCTCCGTTCGGAACCAGATTACGCGCCACGAGGCCACGACGCCGAGGGCGCGTGCATCCGCCGCCTAAATGGTCTCGAGGGCGCGGCCGGAAAGTCTTTTCGCCGGGGAGCGGTGCGTTGCGTTGCGGTGCGGTGTTCTCGCTAAGTGTCGCACCGCCACCGCCTCGGCGCCGTCCTGGCCGGAAACGCGTGCCGCCGCACTGTGATACGGTCGCGTCCTCGCCCTTGTTGTCGTCAAGTGTCTCTTTTTCGTCGTTAACCGGGGCGTTTGTGTTTTGCAGGCCGCGCCGGGTGTGGAGATGACGTGGGTCATCGCGGACTTCACGGCGGCCTCGACCGCGGAGCTGACGGTGCACAAGGGCCAGCAGGTGGAGGTGCTGGACGCGCCCTCGGCCGAGCGCAGCGACTTCTGCCTGGTCCGCATGCCCGCCGCGGGGTCCGGGGGGCCCGGCGCCGTGGACGCGGACGGCCCCGTGCCGCAGGGCCTGGTGCCGCTGTCCGTGCTCAAGCAGCCCCCGCAGGGACTCAAGACGGCCGGCGCGACCACCGCCACCTCGCCGTCGCGGCGCCTCACCACGCTGGCGCAGGACGACTCAGGTAAGCGAGAGGATGAGGATGCGGACGGCGAGCGCCGCGGCGGTAGGCAACACGATGCACGCGCGTGCAGCCGGCGCGGCGGCTGCCTGCCGCCACGGCGCTCGGCCGCGGCTTGGCGCGGATCTCTAGCGCTGTCGCTGTCGCGCGGTCCACCGGCTGCGCGGCGCTGCGCTGCGCTGCGCCGAGGGCTGCGCGGGAGTGGGGGCGTGGCATGACGCACGGAGCGGGGAGCGGGGGCCGCGGCATGGTCGGGGTTGGTCGGGGCAGCCCGGCTGTGGCTCCCTGCAGGCTTGCACCGCGCCGCACATACCCCGCGCTGCAGAGACTCCGCAAGCGAAAGTGGATTCCTGGGGACGAGGCTAGGCAGCCTGGGGCAGCCCGCAAACCGCGCCCGGACGCGTCTCTGAAAGGAAGGCGACGGGGCGAGCTGGTGCGGCCGGTCTTGGGGCATTCTTACGGACAACGTGGGCCAGTCTGGCGTCGGACTCATTCTCGGACCTTGCGAAGGGCTTGGGCCGTTCTGCAACTGCGACAGAATTTTTGCAAGTTTTAGATTCTCAGTGGCTGTGTGGACATGGGCTTTCTGCGCGCAGTGTTCACCACTCCGGCTCAATTCGGTTTTGTTGAGAGTGGTGGTCGGCCGGGCCGGGTCCCGACCAGGCCCCGGGCCCAACGCTCTGCTCGACAGCGTCTTGGACCAAGAGAGAAAGAGAGGCAGAGAGATAGAGAAAGAGAGCCTGGGACCGGGGGTGCGAGTGCGCGGGTGCCGGGCGCAGGGAGAGGGCCGAGAGGGCAGGGTGGCGGGGGAGGGGGAGGGACGGCTGCCCGATCAATGTGTCGGGGCGTGCGCCGCTCCGGGCCCAGACTCTCTCTCTCTCTCTCCCTCTCCGCCTCCCGGATGTCTCTCCTTTTGGAACCCCTCTGTTCTCCCCGTCTGCGCCCTTGTCAAGCCCATTCTCATTTGTTTCGTCACTTGAATGTGGAGAAGCTGAAGGGGGTGGCCGCCCGCCACTGTGCCATGGCCGGGGAGGGGCGGGGCGTCCTGCCCTGTCCCGTCCCCGAGGCTGGCCGTCGTACACACGGAGCTGTCCCTCCACGCCAGCCTAGGGTGCGCTGGGGAGTGTTGCGCCCCCACCCCGCCCCGCCGCCCTCAACGCCACCCCCTACCCGCGACCTGCCTTAGACTATCGCCTCTGCCCAACGCAGCCCTGGCGGCCCTTCTGGGCTGGGCCCTCCACGCTCCGCGGCGGACAGCGGACCCCCCGCCTCGTCTTGTTGTTCGGGAGAGGGCTTGGACTCTGGGGAGCTGGCGTCGTCGAGTCTCCGAAATGAAATCGGCCCTGTTCAAGGGTTGGGGCGGGTTGGGGCCGGCCGGGGCCGCGCCAGCGTCGAAGTGGCTCCCGGCTCTACCTGGCTCGACCAGGGCCTGCTCCTCCTTCTCCACCTAAAGGTGCAGCTGGCAATACGGGGCTGGGGCTGGCGGGGCTGGGTCGGCCCCTGGCTGGTCCAGGTCCAGGACAGGCGGGCTCGGGGCTCTGAGACGGTGTGAAGGGTGGCCGTGGAGCACCGTGGAGCACCGTGGAGGGGGTGGGGCTCCTTGTAGGGGGCAAGGCTCGGGCTTGCAAGGTGGAGGGGGCATGGCGCTGTGGCTAGCGGGCTAGCGCTAGCTGTGGCATGGCATCAGCCGGCAGCCAGCACAGCACACCAGGCGCAGCGCGCGCAGCGTCACCCCAGTACGGCCAGCACGCACCGCGCAGTGCCGCACCGCCGCACCGCGCAGCGTGGGGCAGACGCAGCGCGCAGCGCGCACCGCCCGCGCAGCGGACGCAGTGTGAGCGGCGCCCTGCGCGGAGTCCGTGGCTAGGCGGGCTAGGCTCGACGCGACCGTCATGGCGTGCAGGTGACGAGGCAGGGCAGGCTAGGCCCCGGCCCTGCCGTCCCGGCCCCGCCGCCCCCGCACCCCGCCGTCATTGCCGGAATCGCGACGGCGCCCTCCCCCGAGGAGGATGGGCGCACCCCGCTGCAGCCGCTGCAGCCGCTGCAGGACAGGGACCCCGGCGTGGCCAGGTCCAGGACGTTCTTCAGACTCTGGATCGCCAAGGTGAAACAAGGTGAGCAAGCAGGCCGACGACGGAGTCGACCCGCCAACGCGTCAGCCGAGGGGCTCGGGTGCCGACGGCAGCGTGGCGCGGTGCAGCGGAGCGTGGCGTGGCGCGGCGTGGCGTGGCGTGGCGTGGCGTGGCTTGTGGTGGCGCCGCCGCTGATTGGCGTGCTAACAAGTCACTGGGGACGCCTCGCCGCCTTGCGCCTTCCCCGCTCGTTGCTCATTACCGACCGCGTGCCAAGTGCCTCCGTACGCCCAGCACGCCCAGCACGCCCAGCACGCCCCCGCGGCCTGGCCCCAGCGAGGCGTGCGCGTCGGCGACGGTGGCCTGGAATCGGTCGGGACTCATTCCCATTCGCTTAGTGCATGCCTGTGGAAGTGCACCTGCGAGTGCCAATTTGGTCGCAAACACCCAAACGCTGTCGCTTGATTGCCTGGCGCTGCCTGTGTACCCCTCCTTCTCCTCCTCCGCGGTCCTTTCCTCGCCGCCTCCATGCCCCTCCTCCTCCTCCTCCTCCTCCTCCTGGCCGCGGCCCCAGCTCCGGCCAGGCTCCGGCCAGGCTCCGGCCAGGCTCCAGCGCCACCGAGCAGCTCCAGCAGCTGCTCCCAACTGAACCCCCCCCCCCTTGCCCCCTGCAGCCGCAGAGAGGGGATCGATAGCGGAGGGGCCCTCGCCCCCCTGCCCCCCTCCCCCTCGCGGCCCCCGCGGCCTTGACCGTGCGCACACCGCGGCGTGCGTCGTGCCCGTCGTGCGCGTGCTGCGTGCTCGTGCCGCACGGCCGGGCCGCGTGCTCGTGCGCCAGGCGCGCGCGATTGTGTGTGCGAGTGTCTGTGTGGCGCGTGCGCCGGCGTGCCCGCTGCCCCTGCGACGGGGACGCGCGCGGCCCCAACCAAAATAGAATGTGGTCCTGACTTGGCCATCCTGCTGACCCTCTCCCTCGTGAACAGGCACCGCGACACGGGCCGGACACGGCGTTGGTGGAGTCGGCGTTGGCGGCGAGTCCCGGTTGGTTCCAACGCGCCACCCTCCAGCTTCCCTCCCTTTTCCCCGGCCGCCCTGCGCGCGCCCTGCCACCCGAAGCAAGCAATGGTAACGTCATTTTTAGACCCCTTGCGCTCGTCGCTCGTCCCGCGTGGCGGGCACGGCCGGTGGGCGGCTCCCCGGCCCCCTTTGGCGACAGCGGGGACAGCGCAGCGCGGCGCAGCGCGGCACCCCAAGCGGGAAGAGCCGCGTGAAGCCAAGGCTTCCAGTTGACCCGCCACTGAAAACTCGCACGCTGATTGCCCCTTTCCTGCGGGGCCGTGCCGTGGCCGTCGACCGCCCGCCCCGCCTCCGCCTGCCTGCGTCCCCCGTCGCCATGCCGTCGCCGAGGTCGAGGTTCGAGGACCGGAGCCCCGGATCTATACCTCCTCCCCGACTGGTCATACTCCGTCATACTGGGAGTGGGAGCTTCGAGCCGCTTGAGGTTCGTCTCCGCCGGTATAACGTGTCACCCTAGTAAGGACAGCCACGTCTCGTTTTGCAGTGGAGGCGAGCTTGTGTCGGGCCCGAAATGGCATACGATCATGTCTGGTCTAGCCCGTAATGGTAATGATAATGGGCAGGATAGGCAACATCTGGATCCCGCGCGCCGCGCCGCGGCGGGTTGCCTACCGCGTGGTTCGCAGGCGTTTTGTCCGTCGGTCGGTCGGTCGGGGCGAGGGCGAGGCATCTGTCTCTCTCCGCCGCAGTTGCTGCTATCGGCAGCGTTGGCGCGTTATCGCCGTCGCTATCGCCGAGGCACGGCCGGCTCGGCTGGCTCGGCTCGGCGGGGGGCAGCTGACGACGATTTTGTTGTTGAAGGTGAGCCCCCCCTCCCCCTCGCGTGCGGTGGCGTGCGGCTGCCCAGTGGCTCGCTTCCGCCCGGCTTCCGCATTACTTAGCAGCGTTCTTTTCTCCGGAAAGGCGCGGCCGAAGCACGGCCAAGGCTCGGCCCAGCCCCGGCAAGGCACGAAGGCCGTAAGCGAAACGCGGCGCGCCATTTCTTCGTCGCGCTCGGAGAGAGAGAGAGAAAGAGAAAGAACGGCTGTGTGCGTTTCGCTGGCTGTTCACTGAGGGAAATGTTTTGGGGCCACACCTAAACTTACAGCTGTGACAACCAATCTGTTTGGTCGCTGGGGGTTCAATTAAACGTTCGATGGCCACATTTAAATCGTTTAGTCGCACTACTTTAGTTGTGAGATGTACTCTTTTTCTAACATGTCGTCTGTCTATTTTAGCCACTGCCACTAAATCAAATCTTGTTACAGTGACTGAATGCGATAAGGTCTGACGATTGACTGTTTAGTCCTGACACATAAACGTAAACCGATGAAAAAACGACTTCAATACGAGTGCTCGAACCACGGACCTACGTGTTACGAGTCCGTCGCTCTACCAACTCGCCCACCTGGCTGACTGAGAGACGCCGGCATTGATGGGCCTCTTGGACTGACGAATGTGTGCGGACGCACCGAGAAAATGATAGCTCGCTCCCTTTCCTGGGGTCCCAAGTGTCCCACAGTCCATCTCCTGACAGCACAATAGTATACAAAGATACTATGCCAGGAGAAACTGGTTGCGCTACGGGGAGTTGAACCCCCGAACCCGGCTTCTTATCCAGCCTCCAGGCGCGGAGACCACTGAGCTACCGCACTGTTGAGAATGTGGCGGAGCGCTGGGCGATGGCAACGCGACTTCCGTGTTGAGTGTCGCATCGCCAGTGTTCCGGTGCCACACCTAAACGCTTTAGTCGCGACTACTGACCATCGATCAAGCCTATGACTAAAGCCAGTTTAATCGAGTCCTTTCATGCTGACTATTATTGGCGGTTCAGTCACTCTCACTATTTAGCAGTCTTATTGTGATCATCGGCTG